TAAACAATCAATAGTGGAACTCTGCCAATAACACCATAAGCTTTTGAAAGTTTATTTTCAAATGACATGACTCTGTTGAAGTATGAGTTGTTTGTGCTTTTTTCTTGAGCATAGATCTATCATAGGATTATGATAATCTGGTCTAGATTCTAGACCAGATTATTATAATAATAATATACATGTTCCTCTAGACTCTAGAGCAGTGTCTCCCAAAGTGGGGTCCGCGGCCCCCTGGTGGGCCGCGAGGGTACTGCAGGGGGGCCGCGGGAGGTCATAAAAAAAATAAAATAATTATTTAATGTTAAATTTATAATGTTTTGTTTGTAATATTAAAATATTTGTGTTCATTATTTGACTTGAATAATCCACTGTAATCATTTTTGTATTACAATGTTTGTAGCAGAGGCTATTTCCCCAAAATAAAATAACCAGAAGAGCCTATTCTTAATGTTGTCTTCTTGGTTATTATTTTGGGGGGCCACGCAGACCCGTCAGATTTTTAAGGGGGCCTCGGTGTTACTGAGTTTGGGAATGGCTGCTCTAGAGGAACATGTGCAGCAGTGTCGCCCCCTAGAGGATACTTTTACACATGGTTAAAAGTCAGGTTGAAAAACGTGTTGTTCCAGAATAGAACAATATTTGTAGACTCTGCTCCTTGTGATGCTGCAGCGGTGACTGGTTTTCTGCCAAAGTCTTTGACAGTGAATAAACTATCCCTTTCTTTCAAACCTGTGATGGTTTGTGCTTTCGGACTCTGAATCGCTTTGTGTTGCCCTGTGTGTGAAACGCGCTCTACAAATAAACTTTGATTGATTTATTGAACCTACAGAATATTCAGGTTACATTGTAATTCAGCTGAATCACTATAATGTGTCGATCAAGGCTTTATTCAGGACAGTATTATGTACAACAGAAAAGAGGCACAGATATGTGTAACTAATGAATAATGTAAACTAGGCCTAAATGATGGGTTCCAGAATGATGGTGACTTGTTTGTAATGGAAAACGTTTTGCAAATTTTACAAAATCAAACACGTGCAAGCTCTAATTATTTAAAAATAACTCACATTTCCAAATATAGTCTGGGAATATGTATTATCATGGGTAGTGGACGACTATAGCAAATAGTGTCTTATCAGACAAATCCAGTAGTTTTGATGGATAGTTCCATGATTTCTGTTGCTTAAATATTGGCAGAAAACATATTTGAGAAGTATTATACAATACTATACAGTATAATACAGTTATATGGTCACCTCTGGTCATGAGCTACTCATGACTGAAAAGACAAGAGCGGAATTACAGGTGGTTCCTATAAGCTTCCTCCGCAGAGTGGCTGGGCACTCCTTTAGAGATAGGGTAAGGTGTTCAGCCAGACAGGAGGAGCTCGGAGTAGAGCCGCTGCTTCTCCATGTCGAGAGGAACCATTTGAGGTCGCTTAGCATTCGTTTTTCGGATGCCTCCGGGACGCCTCCCTGGTGTGATATTCCAGAAACCAGGGGGAGACACAGGAAATGTCGACGGGACTTTAGTCTGTGATGGCTTGGAAATGCCTTAGGATTCCCCCAGATGAGCAGGAGGAAGCGTGTGTGGAGAGGGTCTGGTCATCACTGCTTAGACTGCTGATAATTTAAATTGAATTCAATTTAAATTTATTCTTGTACAACCCTAAATTACAACAGTTGTTATCTCAGAGGACTTTACAAAACCGTCAAATTTGCTAACACAGATCAGAGAATCGAACAGTTTAAACACAAGAAATGCAATGATAGAACACACAGAGTCATTGGGCGGCACGGTGGCTGAGTGGATAGCAATCTCGCCTCTCAGCAAGAAGATCCTGGGTTCGAATCCCGGTCGGACCAGGGCCTTTCTGAGTGGAGTTTGCATGTTCTCCCCGTGTCTGCGTAGGTTTCCTCCGGGTACTCCGGTTTCCTCCGGGTACTCCGGTTTCCCCTACCACTAAAAAAATGTCCAATAGTTCTGGCATGCGCCTCCTATACTGGCGACCCCGCTCCCATCTCTGTGTGGAGTGAGAGACAAATGCCCAAAAAATAAATGTACAATTGTAAACCGCTTTGAGACTCAGATCTGCAGTGAAAAGGCGGTATATAAATAAAGATTACTTACTTACAAGGGGCAGACGACCATATTTGTTGGTAAATGTCCACAAATGTTGAATTTCCTGGATCATCACCACTATCCAGCACACTCGATACTAAACCTTTATGGACATTTAACAACATTTATGGACATTGGTCATCTGCCCCTTATGGACCAGTGACTATGTATTTTCTATCAATGCATTTTTCCACCATAAAGTGAAAGAAAATAATGGAAGGACACTAGCTCATAAAAAAGACCCAAACACATCCATTTGCCGTTACGAGGCACATTGCATGAATTTAATAAAGTGCAAATCATACAAAATGTCACCAAGCCGTTTATAGCGGGTTGGAAGCCGGGACACAGTAGTGCAGAGACGAGCGGAGGGCAGCTTTAAAAACAGCTCATTAAAACTACGACAAAAAGCTCTGTCCAACTCCTGAAACCTTTTTGTCCCGAGAACTCGGCCCAACGTCCCCTTTTTCAAACCACAGAAAGCAACCTGGAGGTTTTTTAACAGTCATGACCTGCACTTCCCACAAAACAACTTCACCCAATTCCACGTGTCGACAATCAGTTGGCAAAAACAATACTTTTTTAAAAACGGCACAGGACAAGGGAAACTACTTATTTCTCTTTGAAGTGGCATACAGTCGCCTTTACACACGGTAAAATAGGCCACTACTTCATAAGCCTGTCACATTAATTACTATATCGTTCATTAATCGATGAAAGAAACTAACATTTTCTGTGTATTCGCTTCTTGATTGATGCTTTTCTTATGTCTTACAATCAAGTTTTAGCTGTAGAAAATTGAACAATTCACTTTTAAGGCTAAAGATACGTTCTACTGTCTTCTTTCTCAGTCTTTTATGAGAAGTTGACTTTACTTTGATTACTTTGATCATTTCTATATAGTAAATGTTTGAGCGGCAATGAAAGTAGTTACAATATAATCGTTTATCGCAATGTTTTTTCCGATGCAGTAATTTTATTTAATTTTCATATTTTTTCACTGTGGGATGATTAAAGGTCTATCTTCTCGTCAGTGTGGTATGGTGACAGGCCTACTACTTCATACAGTAAACACTTTAGTCGAATATTATAATTATTTTTCAACACGGTTCTAGGTTTGTTAGTCGTTAGAAGTCATATGTTAGTAGTATAAATGTTAGAAGGTAGTTATGTTGACTGGTTTATATTCTAACAGACCAGCCATTTATAAGTATTTCAGTCACTTAATAATACATGGTTATTGAGTGCTTGTGTTTGACATTTTCTAGATTCTCACATATGAATTCTAAAGCAGAAGTAGTTTTTATATCATTATTTTAAAACACAGCATTAAACACTGGGGTACAGTCTATAGATTAGCAAATACAGATTTAATCTTTTGACTCCAAACAAGGGGATTTTAAAATGCCTATTTAAAACTACAACATTAGATCAAACTTTATAATGATTTAGGTAGAAGAATTATTGTTATTATTATTATTATTATTATTATTATTATTAAATTACAGCAGTATCTATGCTAAAATGAAAGGAAATGTTAAAATGTATTTTCTGGCCCTTGATCTTGATTATTTTCAATCTAGTCAAGCTGAAAATATGTGAAATAACATGAAAAACTGAGAATGTGCAACGCTCCCATCTACTGGCAGATGTGGGAAATTACATTCTGAAGGCAAGTAGTTGTATAGAACTGACTGAATACATTCCCAAAACTCATTTAGAGCCAATACTTTTGTCTGAAAAAGCTGAAAGGGGTTTGACGCCATAGCCTGCATTTCATCACAGTGTATTGAGTCTAAAAATAAGAACATTTGGACAGAAGGGGCGGGGGGAAGTTTGTGTTGATATGTTAAATGTGCTACAAATCCCTGACATAAGTGTGGGTGGAGCTAAAAACAACCAAGTTTTATGTAATGTGAATAAAAGCTTAAATAAGAAATTCTTTGCATAATATTGGTCTTTAAAGGGAATTTAAAATAAGTTCTGGGATAGTTTTAAGAATTTAGCGTTCCACAAAATAATCTGTTGCCATGTTTCTCACTCCTGGTTCCATAGCATGGGCGTATAGTTCTTATTCTTTACAACAATGCATCCATATTGTCTCTGTATAATTTCTGTATGCCATTTCAAACACAGCCTCACTCACAGACGCAGATACAGACTCTCACGGTTCCATTATTCTCTCAAATCTCGATCTTTCTCTGGAGTCATTTGTTTAGCGCTGGTTTCGTCAATGGAAGACCACGTTTTCGGACCCCTCGACATATATAGGGCTGCACGATTCAACGCAATCTAAACACATTTCTGAGGTCGCAATTGGCCAATCGCAAAGACGGCCATTATGTCTTTTTATACATAGTTCTTTGTGGGGAAAAAAGGGGATCAAAGGTGAGGAAAAAAAATGACTTGAATTGGCAAAAATTTCTCTGGATTTGACAACATTTCGTGTTGTTCTCGGGCAGAAGCATTATTTCCTCATTCTTAATTTTTATAATTTATGTGGTACACAAAGCAGGTCTGAATACAAGACATTTGTGAGAAAAGATCAAAACTACTTAATAAACATTTGAATAAGCATTTTTTTAATTAGCCAAAGTGTGGGAATTGAGTATGTATGTAGGTTTTTTCCAAATGGAACTCTTTGGAAGTTGGAATTAGGGTCACAACACAAGACTATAAAAATGTGTGAGCAAAGACGACAAAAGTACTTAATTCTAATAACACATTTCTTGAATGATCATGTCCAAAAAAGCGCTACATAAGATTGATGAATCATTATTATTATTATTATTATCATTATTATTATTATAATATTGCGTAGGGTTAGAACTAAATATTCTACCAAAATCGTGCAGCCCTACCTCCAGAGAGACATTCACTCACAGGGCAGTCTCCCCCTCCCCCGCCCCCATGTCCACTCTGCTGTGCACCCCGCCCTCGTCGATATCCTCCCACTCATCATCCAACTGCTCCAACCTCTCCTGCTCTCTGATTGGCCGGTTCAGTCGCAGCATCCGGTACCTCAGGGGCACCAGGAAGACGGCGGGGTCCGGCATGGGGAGCGGTCTCTGCGGGGACGTGACCCTCTCCCGCGGGACGCAAGCTCGCACCCGCTCCTCCCTGATGCTCAACCTGCTCCTCTGGATGGCGAGCTCTGATTGGCCGGGAGAGACGGGAGGAGGAGGGGATAAAAGCCAATCCGAGCTGTCGTCTTGGTAATCGTCCTCCTCCTCTTCTTCCAGCGCCACTTCCGGTTGGTCTTTGGGTGTTCGGGCGTCCGTCCCCTCGGCTCCGCCCTCCTCGCTCTGCTGCTGTTGTTGTTGGAATAGTTTTAAGCGCGCGCTGTGCAGTTCCTGGCACAGGCTGGAGGTGGCGGAGTCTTGGCGTTGGAGTTCCCGGTTCATCAGAGTGATCTTGTGGCTTCTGCGTTTCAGCTCCTCCAGGAAGCACCTCTCCTCCTCCCTCAGGCTGCGGCCCAGAGCGGACACGCGCGCCCGGCCTGTGCGCAGGTCTCCGCGGGCCGCCAGCGTCGTACAGTGTTGGTCCTCCAGCAGGCGCTTCACTGCCTCACAGCGGGCCGCCAGTTCTGCCTCCTCATCTGGGGAAAAAAAGCAACAAGCAAAACATCATGTGTGAATGTTGAAATTAAAACAAAGAATGGTTGCTCACCCTTTATCTGTACTTCAGTTAGCACACTGTAAACCCTGACAAGTAAAGTGTACTTGAAAAAACCTTGGAAATAAATTGCACATTAAAGGTGCAGTAAGCGATGTTGTTAGCTTAGCTCTAGCACCAACTCGAAACCACTCCCCCCTCCCCTTGCCTCTCCACCAAACCAAACATCCAGCGTTTTCTTTTCTCTGTCACAACAGGGAGAGTGGGCGGCAAACGTGAAATTTGCCTTTTCTGTTCAGCCCTTTTGGGTTTTAGAAAATCCATTAACTCAAGTGCACAAACTCGCAAGAAACAGGAAGAGGGTGAAGGGGGTAAACACATCCCATTGGTTTGTTGGGTATGAACAAATCCCATTGGTTTATTTTTATCAGTCCACTCCAAAATACTTTTTCTTTTCATTTTTGGAGACTACAGACATCTGGTCAATTCCATTACTATTTGAAAACACATGATAACTTGACTATTAGGGTTTAGGGACGTTTTCCCACAATATTTTTTAAAAAAAATGCGTCTGGAAAATAATCACTGACTGCGTCTTTAACTTCACTTTAACTTGACGTTGCCAAGTGAACACCATGTGTAGATTACATGCAAAACCCAATTGATTGCAATAAAGTTTGACTATGATTTAAACTCATTCATCACAGGGCCAATCCGAATGGCCCTGTTCCGACTGGAATTTGAACTCAGAACCTTCTTGCTGAGAAGCGAAGGTGCTATCTACTCAGCCACCGTACCGCCCTGCTTTAAAGATACCGAACATTTTGAACAGTGCGGCTTACTTGAACCGAGACAGCTCAGTTCAAAGAAGGCCCTGAGTAGTATAGCCAAGCTTTAAATAAACTAAAAAATATTTACCACTTTGGGAAAAAAATGTTAGAATAACTTTGATATCTGAAATAATATTGAAGTTGGGGTTTACAGCAGGTAGCAGCGAGTACAGATGATGTGTGAGCAACCGTCCGTTTTTTTGAATCATCCCTGTACGACTGAGAGCTTACACAAACATGTTGAAATGAACACACATTTTGGATATTTTTGGGGTTGATTTTGGCATATAAAAATGATCAAATATCGACATTGGCAAAAAAATGCACTGCAAAAAGTGATGCAAAATAAGACAAATGTAAATTAGCAAAATGACTGCCTTAAAACCAGATTTGCCAAATTGATCTTGTTTTAAAAGAAGATATAAGGAATGTCTCCCTTGGAATGAGAAAACAAAGAAACAGTTCTTGAGTTAAGACTAAATGGCTTTGTCCAATCCAAATCTCGTTTATAGACCAAATAAGATTCAAGCAACGGGTTAGGGTTAGGGGTTTTTTTTATCATTTTTTTGTGGAAACCTATTTTCTATTGACTGTTATTGAACCAGGAAAGTCCCACTGATTTCCAAGGACTCTGCCTCTTTAGGAGAGTCCTAGCCCCAGAGAAAGAGGAGCTATTGTCCTTGTGTTTTTCCAAAGTATGAGATCACTAGAAAGAGCATTACTTCTGTCCTTGGGATTGATAAAGATCTAAATCTAACATGGCGCTGTCTAATTGAAGGCACACAGTTGTAAAGAAGGTACAGTAATTTGATTAAAGAAACCAGAAAAAAAGGCTTAGGCCCAAACAATAATATATGTGAAAACTGATAGAACCAAAGTGTTTTGAGAGCGAGTTAGATGGAATGAATGACATACTATATTTCATAGATTGTATTATTATTTTATTTATTTTCCTCTTTGTATTGTAGCATAATTGGCCTCTTCCCAGTGACACACTTTTTAGATCTGTGCCACAATTCCACTGGGAAAAAACACAACTGCTGGTTATTATTACTACAAGTATGAGATCAGGAATGTTGGATTTAGATCTAAAATGTTAGATCTAGAATGTCATGAATGTTAGATCTAGACTTTTAGATTTGGATCTAAATCTAACATGGCGTCTTAATTGCAGACATGCAAACTAGGTACTGTGATTTCAACAAAAACAGAAAAACATAATTTTGACTTAAAACTAGGGATGGTTTTGCATCCCTACTTAAAACACATTTCTTTTAAAAATCAGGTCACAGCATACTGCATTTTAAAAGAAGATGGGAAGTGTTTGTGCCAATTTGTGACAGAGGTTCCTGATGTGAGCATGTGTGAAGCTAAAAACTACTCCGGGGGGAACTAACAATATAACATGGTTCAAAGCTCAGAACAAGAAGGTGCAAAGAAGGTATGCTGGAAATCAAAATCTATTTTCTAAAACTTATTTAGACTTGTAGTAAATGTTTAAAATCATCACAGTTTGATCACATAAAGAGCTTTTTGATTTATCGTATTCGTTTATTCATCATCATTGTAACTCTAAAATCATGTATAGAGATAGAAGTGGGACAACAGCAACCAGCGCAAATGTGTCGTTTTGTTGCTAAGATACCAGGTCATGATAAATATTCTATCAATGCAAATGTTCTCTCAACATGACTCAGCAGATGATGTAATTTAGAAATATCACGTTAACTTAATTTTTTCTCCATCACATTTCAAACAGTGGCTCTGAATCGGCTCAAACGTCCAGTTCAGCACATATTTATTTATGTTTGGCGGCGCTGCTGTGTCTCTGGTGTCGGTGTAATCTTAGCCTGGATGTCATCTGGAGGAAAGACAATCGTATCCGTGACAATGACTCTCCTCTTTTTCTCTGATATAATGTGATACCTGTTGGGTTTCTGTCGGGAAACCTGGAGTCCAGCTCACAGCCCAACTCTGCAACACACACAGAACAGACGGAAAAACGCAGTATTTAAATATCATTAATAAAAAGGGGAATGATTGGAGCAGATTAGGCGAAAAAGTAAGATAAGTATAATAATAATACTTTTAATTTAAGTATTTAAATAAATACTCCTTTATCGTCTCCTCTAGAAGAAATTCAAGTGCTGTAAGGCACATTAGCATACACCACAGTAGATAGTAAACTTTAAACCGACCAAAATAGACACAATAGACACCATCAGACACCTCCAGCACCATAGAAAAAGAAAATATGTATTTATTTCTTAACAGGACATCAAAACAGAGAGCGCCCCACAATCTTGCACTTTCCCTAAACCCAAACTCCAGTATGTTATTGCACTTACCCTATTTGCATTTGTTATCATTTGTTATTGCATTTAAAATCCAAATTTATTGATCCAAATCACCGGATCCAGGAATCTTTTTAATTTCTCGTTAATTGACAGTATTTAGTCATTGTTAGATCTCAATATTGATCTAAAATTATGGGTCGCACTTTAGTTTAGCCCTCACTAATCAAAAACTAATGAAGTGTTATTTAGAGTAACATTTAGGGTTAATTAGCACTTAATTAGTATTTATTAGGCACTTATTAGTCCTCATTCTACATGGCCTTTTTCAACATAAGATAAGATAGACTTTAGTGATCTCACACTGGAGAAATGTACATGCCACATCTGATTTACATCTAACCAGCTACTAACTGACACCTATAGATCCATAACTGACACAGGGTTAGGGTTCACTAGCTAGCATTTCATTAGCTGCTAATTAGTGAGGGCTAATCTTAAATGTTTCCAAATTATGTTTTGAAAGAATCCACTCACCCTCGTATTCAGTCCCAACATAAGGCACCGCTCTCTTCCCCTTTACACAGTGTCAGTGGAAATGTGGTCACACCAAAGACTCCGCTCCACAAACAAAGTTAGGAACAGTTTTTTTCCCCCTCAAGCAAAAAATGACGCTGCAGAATTATCTCTACATCGTCCCGGGAAATGTTAAAGTCCAGGTTGAAAACTGTCTTGTTTAGCTGGACGTATTTTTAACTGAAACATTGAATTGTTTTTCATTTTGGTTGTCTGTTTTTAGTGTAAATGTTTTGTTTTTGGCTCATGAAGCACTTTGTATTTACACTGTATGAATTGTGCTTTATAAATACATTTGATTTATAGATATATTTCATCACAGATTCAGAAAATGAATTTGAGGGAGAAAGTAAAGAAGGTGAAATGTAGTGAACCAAGTAGTGGGTGTTGACATTTGAATAAATAAAGTAAAAACAAGCGAGAGCAAGTAAATAAAAATAATAATAATAATAATAATAATAGTAATTATACAAAAACATGTTTTGTATCAATGTTTTTGTAAGTCAATTATTATTTACAGACCTGCATTTTGGGTTAATTTCATTTTGCCATGTGACACAGAATTTTCTTTCACATTATTTTGACCAATCAGGGGATTTTGGATCATTTCTAAACGCACCAAACAAGCCTCACTGATGTACCACATGTACCAGGCCACACTGGTTGAAAAACACTGGAATAAAGCACATTTTATAAACAAGGCAATTTTGATTGTCTAGACCAGGCATGTCAAACTTAGTGGGCCAAATCCGGCCCGGAAGACCCTTTCAGTAGCCCCTAATATCATTTTCAAATATTATTATTACCTTGATGGTTATGGGTCATCAAAGCATATTTTTCATTCTAAAATGACAAAACATTTTAACCCAACACATCATTAGAAGTTAAAAAGTTGAATATAAAACAACGTATTTAACTTTATATTATTTTACCCAGTTTTAGTTAAATCTAAACAATTTTGTTTTCAGAAATAGCAACCAGATAATAACCAGATAACCAGATAGTGAAACTTATGTCACATAAAAGTAATGTCATAATACCTTCATAATGTAAATATCCCTTCTTCTCTTTCGGCCCCCGACCAGTTCCTATTGGTTTTATTCGGCCCCTGACCAAAATGAGTTTGACACCCCTGGTCTAGACTAATGTTGGAAATGTGATCTCCCTGTTCCAGAGCGACATTGATTGAGAGCGCAGTGGTCGCAGACTGACCGTGGCAGCGTCTCTTCAGGTTGCTGATCTCCAGGTGCAGCCCAGACAGCATGACGCGGTGCTCCTGCTTCAGGAAGGCGATGCCCCGCTCCACACTGGCCACCTGCTGCTCCAGCCTGCCCTGCTGCTCCAGCCTCCCCGCGGCCATGGCCCTGGCTCTCACAACCTGGACACATCCACAAACATGTGTCTACTGTCACTTTCCTCATCAGATAATGTCAGAATGTGCAATATAGACCCCTATATGTCCATACTATTCCCTCATGCTGCTAAAACGTACACATGAAAACATATAATTTTATATTTCCGGCACTAGAATATACCCTATTTTATACTGGCATTTCTATTATGCTAAAGTTAGAGATGTTTTACTAATCTCTTTATTATGCTAAAGTTAGACACTGTATACTTGCTTCTTTATTTATCTGTCATGTTAGTGCCATATGAACCAAAGGGACTGGCCTGTACTGGTGCCAGCAGAGTCAGGACTAAACATGGGGAGGCTGCCTTTCAGATGAAGAATGTGAGACAGGCTTCTACCCTGACAATGTTCAAATCCAGGTTAAAGCACTTCTGTTTTGCTACAACTGAAGGATTGTATCTTCTATCACTTTTTATAATGCACTGTGATTATTTACGATTATAACGACCTTGTGTGATTTTAATGTCTCTTTATGATCTGTGAAGCAGTTTGTGTTACTTTTTGCATTTACAAATGAAGATTGATTGATTGTGTATGTTGCGAGATTAAACTGGCTTTTTACATATACCACGCTTTCTGTGGGGATTTTGATTTAGAATTGATGTTATAGTATCCTCCCGACATAGACATTTGCATATATCATACAGTATTGTGACTGTGAGTGCAGCGAGCATCAATACTTTCTCTCATAGCCTAATATGAATAAAACCTCACAGCACTCTCAATCTGCATAAGCCTGATGCGTATCTCTAGTCTCGCTCCATATTGAGGCACATTCTCCCCATTGACAAACAAAACACATCATTAATATCTTCAATCATCCCACATCATCCCAGCCCGGGCCATTGCCGTGCATTAGCTATCTCCCTGTAATGCAGAATATTGACAAGTGGCCTACCCCCGAAACAGAAGCGGTGTAGTGCCTCCTCCTGCGCCTCTCATCAATGGATCCCCGTCTCGCTCTGTCGGGTCTGTCCTTCTTGCAACAAAAGCTGGATGCAAAAAAAATCTCAGTAAGCGATGCTGCGTTGTAGGCTGCAGAGAATAGAGATTTCAGTGCAGATTTGTTATTGTTTTGTGGCGGAGAATGAGAGAAATCACCTCCTCGTAACCTTAGAACTGCGCCTGCTGCTGGGCCAAAACAGCTGCTACTGCCAGGGGGCGGGGCTTCAGAATAAAGCAATGAAATCCATCAGCTGATTATTGGATTTCAGCTTAAAGGGGCAGCGGTTCAGGTTTTTTGTTGTAGTGCAGTGTCTCCCAAAGTGGGGTCCGCGGCCCCCTGGTGGGCCGCGAGGGTACTGCAGGGGGGCCGCGGGAGGTCATAAAAAAAATAAAAAAATAATATAATTATTTAATGTTAAATTTATAATGTTTTGTTTGTAATATTAAAATATTTGTGTTCATTATTTGACTTGAATAATCCACTGTAATCATTTTTGTATTACAATGTTTGTAGCAGAGGCTATTTCCCCAAAATAAAATAACCAGAAGAGCCTATTCTTAATGTTGTCTTCTTGGTTATTATTTTGGGGGGCCACGCAGACCCGTCAGATTTTTAAGGGGGCCTCGGTGTTACTGAGTTTGGGAATGGCTGTTGTAGTGGGATTTTTATGTGGTCATAACATGGGCTCTAGTTAAGGCTGGGGAACGTAAATAATACATGTTGTCTGTTCCCAAACCACAAAGGCTCTTGTAAAAAAGAAAGTAACATTTTATGGACAGGTCAGACCACAATATGCTCTTTCTTATTAGGAAACACGTTAAAATTAGCATATAGTTGTAAGTAGGCAAGGCAGGCGTATTTGTATAGCACGTTTCATATGCAAGTTAACTCAAAGTACTAGAACTCTCAGGGCAGTCAATTTGACGGTTTTTATTTTTGGATTTTAATTATTACTGAGCTTATGTACATTTGTTTTTACTTACATAACTTTGTGGCTTGTTCTGTTTCGTTATGTCGTTTATTTCTATGTTATTATTTTTATAAAATTATTTTTAATTTTGAGAGTAGAGCAAGCGCTAGTAACCATAGCAACACACTTTCAACAAGTTAGCATTAGCCTTTCAATAAACTGTTTTTGTTTCGGTTTTCCAAGGTATATTCACCAGTTTTAGCACTTATTAAAAGTGAGTAAAGGTAAATTTGGAAAAAAGAAAAGAAAAATCACTAGCAGAATTTCATTGATTTGAATAGGGGTAGTTAAAATGACGGCTCTGGGAGTTCTATTGGTTTCATACTTCTTATGGGAGTCTCAATGCTAAGAAAATAAGACAGGACTAAATTGCTGCCCCTTTAAGATAAAAAAAAAAAAAAACCTCACAATTGTATGCACAGCTTAACAGAACTGTTTATAACCTGGATTTGAACATTGTCAGAGAAGAAGCCCACAGCTAACCTTGTGAGTCACTATTTGACACTGAGAGCTGATTGGCTGAGCATGTCCTCTTTACTTTTCTTAAGAGGCAAAATAACACATGCATGTGAAAACGAGTGATAGAACCTGAGAACAAGAAACTACTGTAAATAGATGGATTTTTGTATTTTATGCCTCTTTGAGTTGGCATGCATTGGCCTATACCCAGTGACCCACTTTTTAGATCTGTGCCACAATCTTACGGGAAACAAACACAACTGCTCACGTTCACTGTTTATTTTTATATCAACACATTTTCAGAATTCACTATGACAAGAATCAGCTACAGTATGAGACCTCCTGTCAAAACCATTACAGAATGTGTTCGGAATCGGAGACAGTCATTATTAGTTGAGAGGAAGAAGAGATGTAGAACCCCTGTTTCTAGCCATCCTAGTATTTTTACTTTTTTTTTTTTGATTCAATGGAGGACCCCATTAGAAGCTTTATAGAGATTCTCTGGGAGGCCAAGGTGTTACAAGGATATGCATAACAATGTAATGTATTTGATATCTGTGGTGGAAAAATAAAATGAAATGAATCAGAATCAAGAACCGTCATATAATCAATAATGAAATGTTCTTTGGAATGGATGCATAGTTGAACTTAAATCATATATCTCACTTTTGCACTTCAAAATTAAACTATCAATTTGGATGGCTATATGGACTGAAAATCTTAATGTGTATACAGCTGCTTCTGTAAAGTTGAATGTACTCATTCACGAAATGAGTGTTTTATTGCTTAGACTACATGAGAATTATATCAAAATGAAACCATACTTTTGTGTTTTGATGCTCTTGGCTTTCTTTTTGATGTTGCTCTGGCATAAACTGGGTCAAATCCTGTAAGAACTCCTTATTCACAGGCAACAAATGAAAAAATAATTGTTAGCTATGGCACTGATGTGAATATACAAAGCTAGTGTTCCAGTTACGGTCAGATGAGAGACTGCAGGTGAGAGGAGATGGGAGGAGCAATCTGTGCAGCTTTATCAAAATAATGATAAATAAACACATAGACATTCAAACAGGGGGAAACAGAAAGTGAAGCCGTCATAATTTGGTGTTGTTTTTGGTGAATAGATGGACCAGAGTTTGGTTTTGTGTGTTGTTTTCCTTCTTGGGGGTCAGAGCAGGCAGCTGGACTTGGGCCTCGTGCACCTGCTGCTCATAGAACGGACAGACTTTGAGATGAGACGAGATGGAAGAGATTTCAGACAAGTGCCAAGAATCCACTTTGGAGAAGAGGTGACTGAACTCCCACACCTGCAGCACACGAGACGGAGAGAGAAGAGACAAGTGGAGAAAACAGGAAGAAAAGGATTGAAAAAGGAGAAGACTTATACTTTTGTTTGATTTTTATAATCTATGACAACATTGAGTAATTATAATACTAGATTACAATGCATTTTCTTCCACTTTATCCGTTTCCGGGTCGCGGGGGAACCCTTCCTCCAGCTCATTCAGGAAAATCTCAAGGTTCATATAGTTTTTGTTATCATATTTAATATTAAGATTCTTCAAGTGTACTTAATTCTGATGGCATTTTTAACACCCTGCAACATTTAAACTGTTAGTATATTTACTTTATCCTCCTAAATATTCTTGTAATTTTTTTATTATTATTATTTATTTTTCACTTTATATTTCTGCAGTCCCTATTATTGCACATTGACATTGGCACTGACAAATTCCCACTGTTGGAGAAATTAAAAATAAAGATAATGATTTTGGGATAAAATTCCAAAATTTTTGGGATAAAATTCAACAGACGTTTCCAGTGATGTTTCTGGTCTGCAAGCTTCTTACAATAGTTGGCTGGAATTCGGGCCCATTCTTCCTAAACAGAACGGGTATAACTGAGACTTGTATAGGCCACAAAATGTTTAAATACAAGACTTTATATGTTGGGACAAATAACATGTATTATTTGAGACAGTTCAAACATGATTTCATCCTCGCATACGTTTTGCACCATACGTCTCTTTCACAACCACATTTTGGGATAACTCACCGGTGTCGCCCTCCACTGGCTCTTGCCTCTGGAGCCTGTGGTCCTCTCCCAGCGCAGGGAGACCATGCCCCTGTCCTGCAGCTGAGAGGAGCACACCTGCCTCATCAGGTCGGACACCAGAGCGAGCTGCGACAGCGACAGACTGTCCAGGAATGAGGCCATGTGACACAGCACCTCGAAGGGCAGCGAGCTCAGAGCGTCCTCTGCAGTACCACAGTCCTCCCACAGGGGGCAGACTGGAGCAGGCCGCAGGTTAAAAGTCTTCAGCTCTGGACTGATGAGGGGAAAATAATAACATTTCACATTTACTCGGAACGCACCAGCTTTTAATAACAGCTGCCCGGGGCCACAGCTGCCCTGGGGCTGCACACTGACAAAAGCGAGCGTATGTGCCATCGTGACTCTGACCACCACCAACCATTCACGCACACACCAAACTCATTCTAGGCAATGTGGGTAAAATATCTTGCTTCAGGACACAACTACGATTTGGCAATTAACAGCCGCAGCCGCCCCACTGTGGCACCTGGCCTAAGTTAATAGTTCATATAGCTATACGTATTTTGTATCTAGCGGTGAATCCCTAATTTACCATAATTAGATTAAGATTAAGAGATCCTTTATTCGTCCCACAGTGGGGAACTTTCAGATAATTACATCGACACAATAACATAATAAGATTACACCAAATCTAGTTCATTCTTACTTGTAGGTGACAGTAGCTTTGTGAGTGGACGGTTGAAACCTCCTGAAGCTGTAGGTGCATCCCAGGTACGACAAAGGACATCTCTGCTCAAACCAACCACTGAGCCCAGTCTGGATGTCTCCGTGGACATTCCTGTGATCGAAAATCCATGAAAGAGAAATAAAAGCAAACAATGTTACAGTCGTCGCTGACAACAGATTTTTTTTTTTACCCGCTGCTAACTGTAATCTCATTTTAGAACGTACACAACATCTAATCCAGGAATCTATCCGTTTTCCATACAAAAAAGACCACTTGTAAATACAAAAAATAATTCACATTGTTATGGCTGAAGGCTGTGACATCACTCATACCTGACGTGGGCGGAGTATTCTCTGCGGTGGAAGACGTGTCCGCAGACAAAGGCGAAGGCGCTGGTGCGGTTGTTGCGGCTGTTCACGCTCTCGGCCTGAACCTGCAGGTGAAGTCTGGGTCCAGCGGTTTCCGGCGCCACGTCACAGAGTCTGGTCTCGGACGTGAACGGAGCCGAGCGGAAAGAATAGGTCTGCGTGCCCTCGTCCACGAATAGACCGTCTGTGGCCTTCATCTCGCAGATCTACGACACAATACTTCTATTGGAATAGGTCTGTCCAATCCGGTAAACCTGGAAATCAATGTCTTTTCTGGCCCCATTGATCTATTATGGAAAATGCCATGTTCCAGCCTCTTCCCTCTGGCAGAAGATCTCGTTCGCTGAGATGCAAGTCGATATGCTAACAGTCGATATGCTAACAGTCAATATGCTAACAGCTTCTTTCCACAAGCTGTTGATCTTGCTTTTATTATTTAAACCGTCTTTGCTGATTGGTGTCACAGTGTCACTTGTTTCCTGTACTTTTTAGCTTGTAGAACCCCTGTTTCTAGTACTTGTCTGGTGCACACTGGGGACTTTTGCGCATGTATTCCAACGTGGTTTTACAGCAAATGGTAAAAAGACTGAATCTGATCCACAAATACAATAATCCACAAATATGATTCATGATCTTCATTAGCATTTGATCAATATGATTTATTGCATATAAAAATAGTGGAATGATAACAAGAAGTATAACACTTTTAGATGAAAGTTGAAATACCTTGTGGCCCATGACCTCCTTCTCGGCGTATCCCAGGAAAGTGAGTTTGGTCTCGTCGCCAAACCACTCGGTGACTCCCAGGTCTGAGGTGTCCGTCTTCCGACTCTCAGTCTCAATGTGAACTATGGTTTCACGTAGATTAATTCTCTCTCTGTAGCGATAGCTCTCAGGAACCTGCCTCAAGGGAAGTTTCAAATGTTATTATCATTGTTAGTTGGTAGAAATGCAACAACATATAATTTACGGGATATTAGATATAGACTGGGGTCCAAGGGAAGAGACAAGATTTTGGAGCTAGAAAGGCTGAAACAAAAAAGTGAACTAGAAGAAAGAGTGGGACAAATCACTTAAAGCAGATTTTAAAAACCCAACCGCTAAAGAAGAACACCTCCCAGGAAGCCTCACAAACCATTTATCAGTTAAAAATCACAACCAAACATTGATTTTCTGGTCTAGTAAAGGTGTGGATACATATGGGTTTCAATTCATGATATCAATATATATGTTTATTTTTCAGATCAAAATTCTCTAAAATATTCCCAGCCCTAAGCTAAATGTCTCTACCCTGTGAACTTGGTCCAAATGACTCCTCTGGTCACCTTGGAAGAGCCATGTTCCAGCTTCTTCCCTCTGGCAGAAGATATCGTTCGCTGAGATGCAGGACATCTCAATAGGATCAATAACAATAGGATTATCTTGCGCTTGTAATTGTAGACTGGGGGCATTTTTCACATGTATTCCAATGGGGTTTAACTACGAATGGCAAATACTTTGAAACTGAATCTGAAATGTTAAAACTTGTTCTGAGATGCACTGTTCGTACCTTGAAAGAGCAAAGGGTTTGTACTGGAATAGGCTCCAGGCTTCCATACACAAAGTCCCTCTCTCTGGGCGTGCAGGCCTCGATGTGTCCAAACGCCATCAGCATCCTCCCATGATGGACTATATACATGTTGTACTCCTGGGGGGTCAGGTCTCTGCCCAGCCGCTCCAGGACCCCTTCATGCCATGGAGCACTTCCTTCTTTACTGTAGTCACCTTCAGGATCCGCGGCAGCAGCAGCGTCACCGTTGGATCCACTTTGACCTCCTGAAACCTGCTTTTTATTCTCTTCTGTCGCTGCTGTTTTGTCTTTTTTTGTTGGGTTGTCTAGTTGTGACTCTGCCAACGTGCACGCTCCTCGCTCCATCCCAAACATCATGTCCATAATGTTACCTCTTGAGCTCAAAATCTGCCTTCGAGATTCTGTTTCCTCAGGACTCAAGGGTTCAAAGACAGATGCAGGCAAAGGCAGCACTGAAGGAGGTGGAAGAAATTATACAAATGAGTTATCAGAAATAAACATACAATGGAATCCTGAAGTGAACAAGATGTTTTTCCAAGGAAACTGCAGTCGTGATTTAGGGCTTTACAAAAATAAATTGAATACGATGCTGCCAATGCCTCACCTTCTTCTTGGACCTCTCCGTTCACAGTCCCTCCCATAGCGCTCTCCTCTTTGCTCTCCTCGTCTTCGCTCGGCTCCATCATCTCCGGATACAGAGTCTTCATTTTGAGTCGCGAACACAGAGCGGTCTGATCCGCCAGCGCCACACAGACATCCAGCGCCTGCTCACGCTGCTCAAGCCTCTCCTTCAGTAGATTTTCTTGCAAAGCTAAAAAACTGTTTGGGTTGGTCTCGTCGGTGGGCCACCGCAGCCACTCCATGGAGCAGGAGACCACGCTGGCGGGACAGAACTGCAGGTGCTGGGCCTGGGAGGAGCGCGGCATCTGGAGCGGACATCCCGCTTCAGCGTTGATGCACGGGACGCGGCCGTTGGGGCAGAGCAGCAGGTGCTCCTCCTCTTTGCACAGGTGGAAGAGCGCCCCACACAGGAGGCGGCAGGTACTGAGCGGGCAGCAGACCGAGGGCTCCACGCGCGCCCTGCAGCGGCGTGAGTAGCACGAGTCGCAGTGAACATGACCTCCTTTGTGACGCACACGGGACGAGCGGGAGCTCTGAGGGACGGAAAACATTATCATTATAAAATGTAATCAATCTTACTTTTCCAATGTTGTCAGTGTACCTGCAAGTGTTCACTTATCTTGTGTTGTGTGCGCCTCATTCCTTATTGTGCAAAACTGAAACAAATAAAGGATCTTGCTCTGATTACTTCTGCTGATGAGTTTTATGGAAAGGGTTTGTCTAATGTGAGCTTTTTGTGCAAAATGAAATTGAGTGAAATAAAAAAGTGTATTCAATTAAATTAAAGATGCAGTCAGTGATTTTTTCCAGACGCATTGCTTTTTAAATATTGTGCAAAAATGTCCCTAAACCTTAAAAGTATTCAAGTTATCATGTGTTTTCAATCAGTAATGGAATGGACCGGATAACTATATTCTCCAAAAATGTATAAAAAATATTTTGGATTGGACCGATAAAAATAAACCAATGGGATGAATTTACCCCCTTCATCCTCTTCCTGTTTCTCGCGAGTGTGCGCACCTCCATCCATCCATCCATTTTCTTCCCCTTAATCCATTTCTGGGTCAGGGGGGTGGCAGTCAGAGCTGCACCCAGTCCACAGAGCACCAGCCCCTCACTGATCCTCCTGCAGGTGGTGAGTCCACAGGAGCTGAGATCTTTCAGTGGGGGCTTCAGGCAAAGTGGGGTTAAGTGTCTTGCCCAAGGACACAACGACAGCAGTCAGGACAGCAGTGGGAGTCGTGAAGTAGGTCTTATGGTGGGCTTGAACCCACGACCTTCAGGCCCAAAGGCCAATGCTCTACCAACTGAGCTAATGTCGCCCGCACCGAGTAATCGATGCGGGTAGTAACACAGAGTGTGCGCACCTGAGTAATCGAATTTTCTAAAACCTAAAAGGCCTGAACAGAAAATGCCATTTTCACGTTTGCCGCCCACTCTCCCTGTTGTGACAAAGAAAAGAAAATACTGGATGTTTGGTTTGGTGGAGAGGTGAGGGGAGGGGGGAGTGGTTTCGAGTTGGTGCTACGGCTAAGCTAACAAAATCGCTTACTGCTCCTTTAAATTGCATTCATTTTTATTTTTCATAAAATCACTACAAACCACTAACCAAGTAAAAATTCCTTGCTCAAAATACATGAGACATGATGGCTAAATAACGATCCACAGCATGGTTGTCTTAGCGCAAAATAAAAAATTAAAAAACTTAGTGGCTATCAGGTTAGCCACTGTCATATACTCAGTTCTTCTTTTTCTTTTTACTTAGAAACCTCCCTCACTTCACAGCTACTTCTGGCATGAGCCACAGAAAACACACAAAATATGGAGATGTTTTTTAAACTAAAATAAAATACAAGAGCTTTCCAGTCAAAAACCTACACACCTCTACATTCCATCTCAGGTGCAACATTCTAATCTATTTAGCTAATTCTGGGTTAATTCTGTGAACCGGATTGTCACTTCCAGGTTCGAAGCTGCAGTAATTTAAATGTCACATTTTTTACTGTATGCCTGACTTCATGTTGCGTTGAAATGAAACAAAGGAAAAGTTAAAGCTGTTGGGTGACAATAATGGGATGAAGTGCAGAGATTGATAAAGTAAGCTTGCTATGCTAACATGATGCTAACAGCTAGCTTGTTTTGCATTACCTATGCTTAAACTAGGCTAAATAAACAATAACATCTCTAAAAAGAATGTAAAACACGAGATTATTGTAGAATAATTATATATTATTATGTTACATGATAAAAAAACGAATTCATCATATGGTCTGTCATTTGCGAAAACCCAGCTAGCTGGGTTAGCATTAGCGCCATTAGCAGTGCAGGTGAGAGGCGTTAACTAATTGCAATTCCAGAATGACAGATTAGATATCTGGTGATTTAATTATGGGATTTTCAGCTAAAGATCCACAAGTTATGATGTGTATAAAGCATGATCCACAAATCCAGAAAAAGCATCTAGAGCAGGCAAAAACCTCCACACCTATGGGCTCTACAGAGTCTATAAATGTATATAATATGTTTAATATCGAATTAGTAGCCCAAACAGTTTTCATTGCTCCATGAAACAGGAAGAGCATGTTTTATGTGTGTGTGTGTTTATTTTTTTCTCATGTTGTAACATTCCTGAACCCATAAATATATAATGTAGCCAAGTTATTCACTGTCTGTGGTTGTTGCATGTTACATAATCATAAACATTAGTACAGACAGTGTCACTCACCATAGCTTGAGTTCTGTGATTTCAGAAAATGCTGAAACATCAGAAAAACAATCAGACAGCATTGGATGACACAGTGAAGGCCTAAGATATGCAGGCAAAAGTTTCGGGTAAAAGTAATTATACTGGAGTCAATCCGTTCAGCAAGTATGAGCTTTTATTTGTACATTTTAAGTAAATGTTTAAATGCATTTTTGTCAAATGATTAAAGACAAATATTTCATAGTGACACAGTTATCTGAACTTGAACTAAGAAGCACACACGTAATGAATTTTACTTTTGATTGTCCTTCCACGCTGTGTTTTGTGTTTCTATGTGAGTTGGGCCAAACCTAGACAAAAAAATATATACTCTATTCTTCTTACATAGAAACATTGCTGACCATAACGAATGAATGAACTTAGAAGCATGGCTAACCACGTTGAATGAATTGGGCACATATATGTTGTCTCGTAATCCACAAAGTTACTAATCCATTTCACTGAAAAGATTTGAGGTTCATTCCTTGGTTTGGGCTAAAAAGGAATGAGTAAGTAGTATTAGAATAAGTAAAATGTTGTCTGAAAAAACGGAATACTAAAGAGAATACCAGATACCAACAAATTTTACTTAGTTCTTACAGAAACAACTACTAATTCCACAAGGCATTTAAATGAATGAATATCCGAGAGTAACTGTGTCTAGAGTTGTGTATAGTACAGTTACTAAATCACTAAAATAATAATTAACTTCTTACCAGTGCTTGCTGACGTTAGCCGTCTCTGCAGCTCTGAGAGGAAAGGTCAAAATCAGATTCAAGACGCTCTGAGCAAATTCAACTCCATACCCCCTCCCCATCTGCTGCAACATAAAAAAAAAATATTACAACATGTTTCCCCAGTAACAATATTTTACTTAATTAATCATAAAAATGTAGCCGCTAAACCACTTGAGTCGTAGCATTAGGTCTCTCTGATATAAGTGTTCCGAGCCGGTAACATAAGCCCTTTTGGACAGCACCTGGTCATTACTATATTTAACTAACACACATTTGAAGTGCAGTCACACCAGCCCCAAAATACATGACGAGGCACAAGGAAAGTCCTCGTCTCAGACTTCATACTTTAGACTTCAACTTCACTCAGAGAAACCAATGGAGCTGATCACGGTAGGACAGATCTTGGTAGTTGAAGGTCATTCATGTCTTTGCACCAGCTACGCTTCTATTTATAAATGATTACGTTCTGCGGTTATAATCTGCATCACAATTAATGTGACACACCTTTGTGTTGTAGTGGTTGTGTGTTGCACCAGTTGTCATATGTAATGTTATGTATTCATTGTGCATACAATAACTTTATTGCACATACTATTTTTTAACATGCACATCTCCTGTTGTTTGCACACCCTGATCCCATTTATGCCGAATGAGCAATGTAAATATCTCCATTTTGAGATCAATTAAGTTTTATCTTATCTTATTTTTATCTCTTAATCTGCCAAGTTTGGAGTCAAATGCAGTTGAGGGTTAGAGCAATGTTTATGTTGAGCCTTTAAGAGCATGCTGTGATTGTTATGAAGTTGTTTTCAAAATGGCTACTGAGTTATAAAAAGAGTGACATAAGTCAGCTAAGGTGAGCTAAGGAGCTATCAGACTAAGAATAAGTATGTATTGGTTTTATATTGTGCTTTCACCTGTTCAGGGTGGTGCTGCTGTAGCCTGCAGAGCTGCCCTGAGGCAATGTTTTGCCCATTGCAGGTCTGACTTTGTATCCAGACTGTGAAATGCAAACATTTTTTTCATAAATGTACTATAACACATAGTATCAATAATTTACCCATTAAAAACCATTACTACTTTTAAATGTACAAACTTGTGTTTTTTACCATACACTTTTCTCCTGATTTCCCTTCCGTCCCTCAGAGCTCCCGCTCGTCCCGTGTGCGTCACAAAGGAGGTCATGTTCACTGCGACTCGTGCTACTCACGCCGCTGCAGGGCGCGAGTGGAGCCCTCGGTCTGCTGCCCGCTCAGTACCTGCCGCCTCCTGTGTGGGGCGCTCTTCCACCTGTGCAAAGAGGAGGAGCACCTGCTGCTCTGCCCCAACGTCCGCGTCCCGTGCATCAACGCTGAAGCGGGATGTCCGCTCCAGATGCCGCGCTCCTCCCAGGCCCAGCACCTGCAGTTCTGTCCCGCCAGCGTGGTCTCCTGCTCCATGGAATGGAATCGATGGCCAGCAGAAGACGCACACTCACATCCAAACACAGAGTTACATGAGAATCTGATGAGGGAAAGAGGTCGGGGAGAGTGTTTGGACTTAGCTATGGCCTTGAAGGACCAGGACCGGCTTTTTCACTCCTTAAAAATGAAGAATTTGTTCCCAGAATTAACAAAGAACGTGGAGCGAGCAGAAGAACAGGAGAAGAAGAGAAAGGAGAAACTCAAAAAGGCTGCATTGGAAAAAGCAAACGCGTTAAAACCAAAAAAGTGGCAGTACTTTGACCACTACAACGTCTGTCAGACTGAGAGAGACGATAGTGAAGATGATAGTGAAGAAGAGGATGTTTTGGAAGAATTGTTGGATGTTTTACCAGAAATAGAACTGAGCCAAGCAGAGAGAGAGGCCATCGCTTATCAGCAAGGAGTGGCACCAGAGATGCTGCAGAATTACAGCGTATGGGAGCGAATGTTCAACATGGAGAAGGGCGGGTGCAGAGAGGCCACTATGGCAGAGAAAACCAGTGACAATAGCTTGGATACCTTATCCAGTAAAGACAAGTTCAATGAGGGATGTTCAGGTGTGAATCCACAGACCTCTGTCCTGGTACCGGCTGCTGCTACATGTGCAACAGTGAAAGAGAAGTTCACTTACAAAGGGATCGAGCCCATGAAGATCACAACAGTGCGGACATTCAAAATCCCAACCAGTTTTTCCGCTAAGGGCAATCGAATAAGAAACCCATGGTTCAAAAAGAAGGAGAATAAAGCAGTGGACACCAGTGACCTGGGGCTGGCGCTGGTGGACATGCCCGTGTGGGAGGAGATACAGGTGAGGGGAAAAAACATCATTTATGGTATGTAAGACAGAAACAGCCAACCCAAACATAGTATAACAGGAGGAGTGAGTGCTACAGGGTCCAAATGTTAAAAACGTAAGTAAAATCAGGTGCTCTTCAGGATGAGAAATACCGTAGCATAGGAAACAAAGATAGGGTATCTTTGCTATGCTATTTCTCATCCTGAAACGTTCTGTGGAAAAGTCCTTTAATGAGGGAAAGGGAACAAACATGATAAGTCATGAAGATTTTTTGTGAGCTTTAAAGTTATGGCGGAGTAACTAGGGCCAATGTTTGCCACCACAGTTCGTAATCCAATATGTTACAGTAACTGTATCACCGCTGACCTGTGCCACACCTGTGTCCTCCAGGCCTCTCTGCTGTGCTCTCTGGAGTGGGAGCAGCGCGGTCACATGATCGCGGAGAGCGTGGCCACAGACGGTCTGCTCATGGACCAGGGCACCCAGACGTACAATTTTCTCTCCTCTCCGTTCTGCAGTGATGCGAGTCTGCGGGACTTGTCTGAGAACAAGGCCCCAGAGCTGCACCTGCAGCTGCAGGTGGAGGCGGTGACCAGCCGCCATAACAAGGCCAGCTCCGCCTTCAACTTCCTCTGTGCACGTAGCTTCCAGCGCCGTGAATATGGCGTGCACTACAAGTGAGGCACACTCTAAGCCAGCTACTGTGTTCTAGAGACGATGAGCTTCTCTACATCGGCTGCCCACCTGCTTTAGAATGATCTAAGCTAGATAGATTTAAGCTATTTGGTTATTCTTGATAGTTCTGTCTGGAAGAACTTTATCTACGAAGAAGACAAGATTATCCTACCTATATTATTATTATTGTTAATATTATCATCATTTTTTATATTCATATTCTTATTGATATTGTGTGTTCCACTTTGATGTGTCGGTGTTGTGCAGGAACATCCACAGTGACATCCACATGTGTGTAAACGGCTGGTTCGAGCAGCGCTGTCCTCTGGCCTATCTGGGATGCACCTTCAGCCAGAAGAGGTTTCGCCCACAATCCTATGATGCGACTGTCAATTACAAGTGAGAGAGAAGCTCAGTAATTTAGTTTAAACATGCTTTAAATATGTTTTAAACTTAAACTTTAACTTTAAACTTAAACATTTGACCTGATTATAACATCAATGTTTTGCCCTCCACTGCTTAGTGGAGCACATTGCAGGCAGCTGAGGGTCCCGTCCTACTATCCCTCATTAGGCCACATTAAAATAACATTTCAGGATAAAAATATGAATTCTTATAATAAAGAAATCTAGGTCAGATCGGAACATCTTTTGATCATGATGCAGACTTTTTCGTTTTGTTGTGTATATTTCTACCTGGTTTTATTTGGCTAAATATTCATTATCTTGTTGTGTAGTTTGACTTCCTGTCTGTCCTGTTGTTTGCCCCACTCTTATGTGTTACCTTTGTGTCTCTATGCAAATATACCCTGTGCTCCTGTCATTTTTTTGTCGATCTATTGTTGATTTTCCACATGTCTTGTCCCTGGTTTCAGTCTTTACTTTTGGATTTATTTTAATTCATTTATTTTGCAGCTCTGCTTTTGGGTCCTTCCTTGATTTATCATGTGACAAAGTAAATATATATTATTTCTCTCAGTGAGGAGCTGGGTTGCTTCAGCCTCCACCCGCTCTCCCCTCTGCCCCTGGACAGTGACAGGGCAGGACAGAGCGCCGCCCGGAGGAGGAGAGGTGGACTGGACGCTCTGAGCTCGCTGCCCTTCGAGGTGCTGTGTCACATGGCCTCGTTCCTGGACAGTCTGTCGCTGTCGCAGCTCGCTCTGGTGTCCAACCTGATGAGGCAGGTGTGCTCCTCTCAGCTGCAGGACAGGGGCATGGTATCCCTGCACTGGGACAGGACCACGGGCTCCGGAGGCAAGAGCCAGTGGAGGGTCACCCATAAGGTAGGTTTGTCTGCGTATACGTGTGAAAGGGGACGCAGTTATCATTCTCTTTTGTTCACTATAATAACAGCTACAATTTAGGTCATATCAATCTGGGCTGAGCGATCTCTGAAAAAACACAGCTGAATTACAGAAATGAATGAATCACTAATCAATATCAAATTAAGTATCACATTCTGATTTGTCTCCTTGAACTTGATTTTCTATTTTTTCCTCAACACACAAAAACACATCCCGTATTGAAATAAACAGTGAATTTTTAAGCCATTTTTTTCCCCAAATCACTGAGTTAAGGGAAAAAATACTCAAGTCTTCTTCTTCATGACTGGTGTCTTTCGGTTTGCATAAGTCAATAATCAAGAAGTTGAGATGGTAATTTTTTAATATTTCATCCCAAATGTCATGGTTATAATGCGCAAAAAACACATTGCAAATATGGTATACTTGTCCAAACATTGCCAGAATATAAGATTAAGTTTTTTAATCTACTTTAAAATCACAACAAAACATCACACTCAAAGTTAAAACAGAATATTAGCTGAATCTACTTTCTCTGGTCGTCTGTTTATTTACATTCAGATTTGGGAGTTCAGCACCTGCTTCGCTCCGGTGGACTCGTGGTGTTTCCGGGACGTCCCACCGATATCGGAGCACCTCAGGACGTGTCCGCACTACGAGACCGAGCCCAGGACCGAGAGGGTCTCACTTCCCCAGGTCCGAGAGCAGCTCCTGAAGCAGAGCAGCTGCAAAAAGCCCACTCTGGTCAGCCTCCTGCAGAACAGAAAGCTCATCATGTAGAGACCGGACACACGCATAATCCACCATGTGTTGTTTTCACTCGTTATTTACTCTCTCGCAGCCGTAATCTGAGCATTTTTGAGCTATACACTGCAAAAAATTATGAAAATATTTAACATTTACATTGAGCACATTTTGACTGCCTTAAAACAAGATTTGTCAAATTTATCTTGATTTAAAAAAGATACAAGAAATGTCTTCCTTGGAATGAGAAAATAAAGCAACAGTTATTGAAATAAGACTAAATGGCTTTGTCAAATCTTGTTTTAAGACTGAATGTACTCAATCTAAGATAATAAAAAAAACACTCGATTCAAGTATTTATTAACTAATATTATATAATTTTTTGCAGTGTATTTATGCTTTCTTTATTCTTTGTTCCTCATGACCATTTAGTGTTTGGAGCAGCAAAACAATACATCAATTCAATTAAGGAAATGTACCAATGTTTTTCTAGTTCTGTGTTCCCTGCAGCTTATACAGCAGTGCAATCAATATGTGTGTTTTTATTGTGCTAGAGTCTGGTTTTTGTCAAAGGAGAGTTATTGGACTTATTGTCTTGACTCCATCAAGTTTTAGAAGCTGTAGGACACTCGTTTATTGTTAAAATAGACTTGGGAATGAATACCAGCATGGAAGCTGTGGTTAAACTGTCTAAATCTTTAAATCATGTTGTGACCAGTTAAAAAAGTTGTCAATCTGAAACATTACAACATGAAAACCTGCGGCTTTTAGTCAGGTACGACCTATATGTGGAAAAATGTACTTTCTTTTAAAATGTTGCTGGTGCGGCTTAAACAGTGGTACAAAAAAGTTTGGCCACCGCTTTCATTTTGTATGATTTTCTTTTATAAATCATTAGTTGTTTGAATAAGAAATGTCCAGTTAAATGCATCATATGAGACACAGTGATATTTGAGATGTGAAATAAAGTTTGTATCATTTACAGAAAGTGAATTACAGAATGTTTTGTTTTCCTGGGGGTTTTAATGATTGCTTTGTCTCCATTCATGGATAAAATACATGCAGTAGATTCAGTCTAGATTCAAACAGGAATAGCTTCGTTTTACTCAGTACTTTGAGTTGCCTCGTGTATGAACTGTGCTATGCAAATAATCTTGCCTGTTAGGATGTTTTTTAGTACGTCACAAGAATATACAAATTAATTTAGTTTTTTGTACAGCCATAAATCACAACAAAAGTCGTCTTTGAGGACTTTACAAAGTTTTCAACTCCCCAACACAAAAAACAAACAGAAAGAGCCATTGGTCGATGTGGGGGCAGATGACCAATATCTATAAATGTTAATAAATGTCCATAAATAACATAATAAAATAATATAGAATCATTATACAATTTGAAACATAGTGTATTTAGCTTATTTTTATGACGGCACTTCTACCCCGATAAAAAAAATTCTCTGGGTTGAAAAAGTGGGACAAAAAATTGAGAAATTGAGAACATTTCAGCATATTTTTTTATGAATTTTTATTTTTTTATTTAGCATAATAATAAGCAAGTATACAATTTCTTGCTTTAGCATAATAAAGTAGCAAGAATGAATACAACATCTCTCACTTGTTTGCACTTACCACTCGTTTCCTCATATTTTCTAATACTTCTAATTTCTAATACATGGAATGACAAATTTAAAAGTAAATAGTTTTTAATGGCCAAAAATAATGCATTATATCACTTCATTATGTCTATTTCTTTGAGTTTTGTTTCGAGTTAGCAAAGCAATCAAGATGTGTCTAGACCTACTGTATGAGTTGTAAACACAGTCAGTTTCAGTCATTTGAAATCCTTCTATGTTACAGTTGTGTCGCTGCACAAAGTACCACTGTAGCCTTCTCCTCGTGTGTGTGTGTGTGTGTGTGTGTGTGTGTGTGTGTGTGTGTGTGTGTGTGTGTGTGTGTGTGTGTGTGTGTGTGTGTGTGTGTGTGTGTATGTGTGTGTGTGTGTGTGTGTGAGTGTGTTTTGTGTGTGAGTGTGTGACTTGTTCAAAAGTGACCAGTTGAAATGAGTTGTGTGCAGTTGTCACTTGGTCTTTGTTGAGTCCATTCACAAGTGGATGCCCAGTCAGCCGTTTCCGCAACACAAAAGAACCCATGCTTTTCAGGGCACAATATACCGAGCAACACCCGAATCCATCACTAAACCGGGAAAAAACTGACCAGGGAAACTAATTTTGTTACCGCAAAATGTGTGTTTTATGTGCAGAGATGGGATACGCGTTATGGACCATGTTATAAACGTAAATTTTTGTGTGACATTTTGTGAGGCAAAGGAGGGATCGGATCTTCTTTTGGGGAGCTGTCGTTGAACCATGTCTGAGACCAAAGCAGGTGAGAGAGCACACTCACAGCTACAAAAACACACGGAAAATAAGGTCTATAGATGTGACAGAGGCCAGAAACACATGCTTGTGAAAAGTAAATATAGAACGGAATTGTACAGAGAGCAAGGAATTAGTTACACTGCAAAATATTATGGAAAGTAAGTTAAAAAATGCTTAAATCTGGCTAAACGTATTGTAATTCTAGCCCATTTTGACTGCCTTGAAACAAGATTTGCCAATGGGACAAGGCAAAATGATCTTGTTTTATAAAAGTACAAAAAATGTCTCCCTTGGAATTAGAAAATGAAGCAACAGTTCTTGAAATGAGACTAAGTGGTATCATCCCATTGGTTTTAATACAGTTAGAATGTACTTAAAAAAACACTTGATTCAAGCTTTTTAGTGCCTTATATTTTACCACTTTTTGCAGGGTACAAAGCTTGTATAATTTATTTGTTTTGTTCCCTTTTGTCATGGTAACACAACAGTACATAATCCATCAAATACAACAGTAATGCATTCCATGAAAGGAAGAACAGAAGGATGAAGGAAACAAAATCTTATAAACTCCTTCCCCGTTCTTAAGCAAATAAATGTACAAATTAGATGGACTATTACATTAGACATTATGTGTGGTTTGAAAGTTTGATACCCCAGCTTTAATAATACATTTTAATTAATCTATTATCTTAAGTAAGTGCTAATATCATTTCCAATATTGGGTTGGCCTCTTTTTTTATCAGACAATCCTTAAACCAATTTTTTTTTTCTCACTGTATTTTCGTAGCTGAACGTCATGCCGCCAATACAGAGGCTGTTTTTAGTTTTGTAAGTTGTGTATCATCAGTGAATTAAAGCATTTAATATTTTGCTATTTACTGCTGTTGGTAGACTAAGGAGCTCTAAAAAAGACACGGAAAAATCGGAGTGCTACAGTGTTTTTTTAAATATCCACTATAAAGGTTTTCTTATCTAATCTTGTCACAATGTATCATAGTTACTTCTTCCTCATCTCACTGTGAACCTACATCATTCAAACTTCTGACTGCAGCCTATTTTCTCTAAAAGGCCAGAAAAAGTGGACTATACAAAAAATGAAAAATAAGGTTGTACAAGCTTTGAAAGGTGTATATTTGACTTGTAAGTACATAAGTTAGTAATGTTTATTTATATAGCGTATTTTACAGACCAAGGTCACCCAAAGCGCTTTACTTGTATTAAATTTGCAGTATTATTGGTATTATTAATTATTATTATTATCATTGTCATTATTATTATTAACCCTAACCCTAGCCATTTGTTCTCATTCTTCCAGTGAAAAATGTCTTGTCTTTTGTTTTTACTTGTTCCATCTGCAAATTTTGGGTTAGGGTTATTTATATATTCATTCATTTCAGGCAAACACAGGAGCAACACAGCTGTAATTAGCACAATAAACATAACAAAAAACAGTTTTGCCTAAAGGGAGTGGAAAGAAGAGAACTTATTTAATCCCACCCCATTTTCAGGGTTAGGGCTCAAGTACACTAAATAGCTGATAATTAATGAGGGCAACTCTAAAGTGTTACCAATAATTCTAAACTTCAAAAGACAAAGACTAAACAAAATATATCTGGAACACAAAATGAACTGTAGTGATGTGTGTTGTGTGCAGAAAGTCCGCTGTCTGCCCCAGAGGACGACCAGGACGAGGTGACAGAGGCCGTGTGTCTGGAGTCGGACCTCAAGGAGGGACAGTAAGGCCTTTTTACTGTGTTTTGAGAGAGTTTACAACTACATTTTTGTTTAAATAAATGTTTGAAAATACAAGGAAACTGTGACATCCTGATAAGTCTTTATAGAAGTGTGTGAATGTGGTGTTTTTGTTTTGTTACAATCTCAAAGACAAGATTTATATGAGAAAAGATCTACTGAAGTCTGTATGAACACAGAGATGAGGAGGAGGATGAGGAGGAGGAGGAGGAGGAGGAGGAGGAGGAGGATGCGGAGAGGAGAAGGAGGAGGATGAGGAGGAGGAGGAGGAGGAGGAGAAGGAGGAGGATGAGGAGAGGAGAAGGAGGAGGATGGGGAGAGGAAAAGGAAGAGGATGAGGAGGAGGAGGAGGAGGATGAGGAGAGGAGAAGGAGGAGGATGGGGAGAGGAAAAGGAAGAGGATGGGGAGGAGGTGGAGGAGGAGGAGAAGGAGGAGGATGGGGAAGAGGTGGAGGAGGATGTGTGAATAGAGTCTGGTGTGAAAACTACTTTACACATTTTCTTTCACTGTGGAAAGTTACTGCAAAAGTAACTGGTCAAATAAACAGAGGGAGGTACCACCGTTTGAGAACCACTGCTTTGTGCCTTTAGGATGATGGAGGTGGAGGTCGGAGGTCACACGCTGCTGCTGACCAGGACCGAGGGCAAATACTCTGCTCTGGAAAACCAGTGCACCCACTACGGCGCTCCTCTCTCCAAAGGTATCTCCAGGAATCATTATGGGTCTGCTCGAAAACTGTGTTTGGTCAATTACAGATATATATTTTTTGCATTTATAACAAAAACTGTGGCTTTATTTTGGCAAAACGGAAATTTCGATGTTATTAGTTTAGTGTATTTTAACATATTCTTATTCGTATATATTTTGGAATAATTCTTATCTTTTTTATAGTTTTTCTAGTAATTTTGCTATAATTAGGATTACGATTTTTATTATGAATAATATAAGCAACATTAATCCTATCTTTCTTTTCTCTTTTTTGGTTTTTGTTTTGTTTTGTCTGCCTGTTTCTTATGTATGTACGCATTGGTGTGTATATATATATATTCACGTGTTTAGCAGAAGTATTTATTATATATGATTTATAGTTTGCACTGGAACTAAAATCGTTTACTTAAAAAATAAAAGAAGAAAAAAAAACTGTAGCTTTTTTATAGGTGTTGTGACAGTGTGTATTTAATTGGTTTTCAATGCTGTGAATGTGAAGCACTTTGAGTTGCATTCACTGTGAACTGTGCTATACATATAAATGTTGATTGACTGATTACTTCCATCTGAAACAGGGGTGATTTCTGGGACCCACGTGCGCTGTCCGTGGCACGGCTCCTGCTTCAACACTCACACTGGAGACGTGGAGGAGTTTCCTGGAATGGACAGTCTGCCCTGTCACAAGGTGCGACTCTCTGCAGCCCTAACCCAACCTGGACCCTGCTTTTTGATAGATATTATACAGTGTTTTATGTTTGCTATGATTGCTTTTTATAATGCCAAAGGTAGAGATTTCTATACATCATGCTAAAGTCAGAGATTTTGCACTTAATTCTTGCTTCCTCTGCTCTTCTAAAGTTGGAGATTAAAGATTGCTCCCTTATAATGCTAACACTAGAGATTTTATATTTATTTTATTTTATTTAGTATTTATTTATTTGATAGGGACAATGCACATTAATGAACATCAGTATTAAACAAATGTAAATATGCCGGATTAGCTACCAAGCTAGTTTTTATCCGTCGTCTCTAGGCAGGAAGATACATACAGAAATGACAACATACCATACAATAAAATACAAAATAACACAATACAATACAGACAACACAGGGAAAAGTTAGACGGACAAGTATAGAGTTGTTGTTCATTTATCTTGTGTTGTGTGCTCTTCATTCCTACTGTTCTGTAACTGGGGATGCAACACTGAAATTCCCCCACTGTGGGAAGAATAAAGAGTCTCTTAATCTTAATATTTAATCATTTCCATCATTCGTAGTTTGAAATCCAGGCACCCCAGCTTCAAACACTCCCCAGCTCTGCCTCAGTTTGAGTGTCAGCATTTTGGATGTGGTTTGTTGTCATGTTTTCAAAGCCACATATTGTTGTGAGTCATATTTCAATGGTTTTTGAACACAACAAAAATCAGAACAAAACAGTACTTAGATTTTTTTTTATACATTATTTCACCAAAAATTGACATTGCTAATTAAGTAAGTAATCTTTATTTATACACTGCCTTTCACAGACCAGTCACAAAGCGGTTTACAATTCTGGTACATTTGTTTATTTTTGGGCACTTGTCCTCTCACTCCACAAAGAGATGGGAGCGGGGTCGCCGAACAGGAGGCCAGACCTTTTGTACATATTTTTAGTGGTAGGGGAAACCGGAGCACCCGGAGGAAACCGGAGCAGACATGGGGAGAACATGCAAACTCCACTCAGAAAGACTATGGTCCGACCGGGATTCGAACTCAGGACCTTCTTGCTGAGAGGCGAGAGTGCTATCCACTCAGCCACCGTGCCGCCCATTAGGTTAAGAGGCTAACAAAACTCCAATGCTACACTCTGAAGAAACTAAAAAACATCCGTCAATTTACATGCTCTACATTTTTAATACAGTTTGGATGTAAGTTCATGGTGTAATGTAGGCCTCCTCTCAGTGGGACATGTCTGAAACACTTAGTGGAGGAGCAGCGGTTCTACCCCGAGCTCCACCCGTGTCACTGTGACCAGCCACTCTGAAATTTTACATAATCCACCACAACGTACTACTATTCACACTGCAATCTTTATGATACATTTGTTTATTTTGTTTTCATTTCAAGGTCAAGATTCAAAACAGCAAAGTGTATGTGTCCATGAACAAAAAGGTAATGTCTCCCGTATTAAGTGAAAGTGGATTCATATTTGGGAACACATCAGTTCAGTTTGTTTTGTTGTTGTTGTTGTTGTTGTTGTTGTTGTTGTTCCCAGACCATCAGACAGGGGAAAAGGATTAAACACATGGGAGGAGCGGAGCCGGGAAACTCTCGCACAGCTCTGCTCATCGGTGGAGGTACGAGCTTCAGTTCTTAAAAGTAATAATACTGTAATAATATCTACAGTCTTCCTTCAGGGCAGTGAATGGTACAACAAGAATGTCAATGTTATGAAACTGAGACATTTTCTCAATACTGGATCCCGACTTTGATATCACAATATATGAAAATACTAAGCTGTAGGGAAAAAGAAATGTAGTTTCTTAAATTGTGGATAACTCCTAAAATACACTAATACATGATTTGTCTATAACCAGCACAGGCTTCAGTGTAGGAACATTTGTATTTTTTTATAGCATCAATACAATACTTATTTTCTTGTGTATCTAATATGTATCTACTACTATCTATCCATATCATCCCATACCAGACCACATCACCCCTGTCCTCAAACAACTCCACTGGGGGGCCCGAGCCTTTGCTGCAGCTGCCCCCACTCTCTGGAACTCACCCACCTCACATTAGGAACTCTGACTCACTACAAAACTTCAAATCACTTCTCAAAACCCACCTGTTCAAAACTGCCCACAATTAACTGCTTTTTATTTTTTGTTTCTTATTTTTCTTCTGTAAAGCGCCTTTGAGTGTCCAAAAAGCGCTATATAAGTACAAAGTATTATTATCATTACTGTCCTCTGTGAATGCCTGGTGCTCTGTCTGACTGCCACCCCCCCGACCCAGATATGGATTGCGGGGAAGAGAATGGATGGATGGATTTACAATAAATTAGAATCTTATAGTTGATCATTTTGAAGCTCATAAAAGTAAACAAGAGCCTGTTGTTGTCGTTACTGCAGGAGCCACGTCTCTGAGCTGCGCCGAAACTCTCCGACAGGAAAACTACAGCGGTCGCATCATCATGGTGTCGCGGGATTATCTCCTGCCGTACGACAAGACGCGTCTCAGCAAGGTCTGAGCTCAACACGCATGTATACTGTAGTACTAGGATACTTTATAAGGTCTATCTCCAACATGCATGCATACTATAGTGTTAGGATACTTTATACACACCCTCACGTTTCAGACCCATCAGAAAAGTGACACAGTACAGCTTTAACGACTAACTGTTTGATTCCAGGTGATGAATGTGCAAAGCGAGAGCATTCTGTTGAGAGGGATGGAGTTCTATCAGAAATATGACATCGAAGTTTGGCTCAAGAAAGAGGTGAGTGAGATAAGAGAAACTTCCCTCACCACACGCACCTCTTCCTGAACATGAACGATAGGGAAATATTCTAGCTGCGGTAGTCCTGACCAAGCCAAGCATCCCGGCTGCTGTTACTATGGCGATCACTGCTCCTGACTGAAGCCTTAGTGGCATCAGGATCGGTCAAATGCAGAAGATGAATTGAAGTGAATCTTTTACCTATCTCGAGGTGTTCCCAGGTTAGCTAAGAGACACAGCCCCTCCAATGTGTCCCGGGTCTTCTCTGGGGTCTCCTCCTGTAGGACACGTTACATACACATATTCGAATATCCACCATGTTTGTAGAAGCAGTCAAACATTTGTTCCACTTGTATTAATTTAAAAAATCCTTGGATCTGATGAGAACATTTTTGCACAGTTTAAAGTAAATTATTATTCATTCAGAAAGGATAAAACAAACTCATTTGCTGCAGTCTCTTAAGCTGCAATGGTTGAATACTTTCAAATCCTGAGAGTTTCCTTTTTTATGAAGTGTGTGGACTTTATACACGTGTTGAAAACTAAAGGAATTGAAGCAAAAAAAATAATCTCTTATCTTTTGTTTTGTTTTAGGCGAAGTGTCTGGACACCGAGGCCAAAACAGTGACGTTTGACGATGGGACGGTTCAGAGCTACGACCATCTGCTCATCTCCACCGGCTGCAGGTCAAATCCAAAAACAAAAAATGGAATGAATCTTTAAAGCTGTTAGATTTATGCTGTTTTAGTTTAGGTCATAATTAGAATAGTGGACAGATCAAATCACTCAAAGGACGGAAAGGTTCTGCATTGTCACCTTTTAGATTCAGATTTAGTTTGCTTGTCATTTGCAGTAAAACCACATTGGAATACAAGGGCAAAAGTAAATTAAATAATTACATACAAGACTGAAAAACAAGCAATTAGATTAGATGTAACTATGGTAACTTAAAAAGTTTCAATGGTTACTCTCGCTTCCCAGCAAAAAAATCCTTGGTTTGAATCCTGGTCAAAACAAGGTCTTTCTGATGGGAGTTTGCATGTTCTCCCCGGTGTCTACATAAGTTTCCCCTAAACACTAAATAAGATAGCCCCCCTCTCTCCAGGGCCAGGGCTCAGACCAGAAACAGGCTCAAAACACTCTCTGACCCTACACCTCTCCGGGGGTGAGGGCGGGGTTATCATGTGTTCAAAGTGGCTCATAGAGATTGTGTTTCGTGATTTTCTTCCAGAGCGAAGGTGCTGGACGTCCCGGGGATGGACCTGAAGAATGTGCTGATGTTGGAAACTCCTGAAGACGCACGACAGATCCACGCCGTCTGCGAGGGCACCCGCGTCGTCCTCGTGGGAACCTCCTTTGTCGGTACAAAACTCAACTTCAAACCATTAGAGTACCGTCATTTCTGGACTTTGAGCTGCTACTTTTTGCTAGTTCTTTGAACCAAGTTTTTTTTAATAATCAACTATATTTGACATAAGCTGCAAAGTTCAAACATATCAAGGACAGAGCTTTTCTTCTGCATTTTAAAGTATTGCCTCGGAAGTGTCAGAAGTTGTAGGAATTTCTCCATATTAAACTATTTTGTTTTTCCAGTAAAATCGTCCAGGCCTTTTCTAAAACCATTGTAAAGTTTTATCAAATATTTATCTTTACTCTTTATAGACCTTACAAACAAAACAACTGAACAATATTTGTCAACTTTATGGTTGTATCTTGTTGCTTCATGCAACATTATGAGGATCTTTTCCCTTTCAAACCATGTAATGTTTCAGTTTAAAACCACATTAAAACTGCCTCTTGAATCTGAACCCTGGTCCTCATGTGTGTGTGTGTGTGTGTGTGTGTGTGTCTATGTCTGTGTGTGTCTGTGTCTGTGTGTCTGTGTGTGTGTCTTCAGGGATGGAGGTGGCCTCCTACATGTTGAACAAAGCGTCTGACATCACAGTGATAGGCAGCAGCGACATCCCGTACCAGAACACTCTGGGGAAAGAGATTGGGAAGATCACTCTCCAGGTCAGAATCTTTTATTTGTGGATTAAAAAAAGTTTACAGTTTGGCCGTACGTGTTGAATATGAACAATAGATATGCCTTGTATGTATTTTTGCTTTTATGACTTTGCTTTAACTTAGAGTTAAAGCAAATCATTTCTGATACTTAAAGTAAATACAGTTATTTGTAGGATTATTTATAGTTTAAAGGGCCTCTCCAGGTTTTCCATGGCTGAAGGTGTAAGTGCTGTATCTGTGCAGATGTTGGCAGAGAAAGGCGTAAAGTTTCACATGAACGAGTTTGTGACAGAGATCCGAGGAGCGAACGGGACGGTAAACTCTCACATCACAGTCCGTCTTTACAAGAGCCGCAGACTTAAAATGTTTGTTTGTTTTCAGTTGAAGGACGTGGTGTTGAAAAGTGGAGCCGTGATTCCTGCGGATGTTTTGATCGTTGGTATCGGTGAGTAACAGAAAACTATTGTTGTTATTTATACATTTATAAAGTTATGCCTCTTTGAACTCGTCTTTTAGGTGTCAACCCAAACTCAGAGTTACTTCGAGGGACTGACGTGAGACTGGACCACAAGAGATTTGTCGTTGTTGATAAGGTATGAAGCTATAACATTATATTTATTACCCTTAATCATGGTCTTGAAAATATTAATGATGGCATTTTATGATTTAGAATGGGAAATATTTGTTTAAACCTGAAATATGTAAATAATCATGACTAATGTAGTGATGACAAGAATGCGCCAACAATGCCATCTTGTGGTAGATTTGAGAAATGACATTCTGCTAAGCTCAAATGGGATTATTTAAATGAAGGCAGGCAGTTGTAGATACGGATATTTGATTGGAATTCTCTATGATATTTGTAATTGAGAAAATCCCTCCCTTAAAAGTGTATTTGTGAAGTGGCGACATTTCTGCAATTTAGTCTTTAGGGCAAAACACATGATGCCACTTTTTACATACACTGATTGTGCAAGTAAATCAGTGCGTGGGAATATGAATTAAAGTGTTCCAATATTAAAGCTGGAGAACTTAACTTTTACCCAACGGAGAGAGTCTTTTAAAAGTAAAAGACAGACATATCAGGTCACAACAAGAAAACAAGTTGTCGTTTGCATGCTTACCCTGAGAGTCTGATTGGCTGAGTGAGGGTGGGCCTCTTATTTTTCACTTTTCTGTCTGCAAAAGTTGATCCAAAGATGTGAAAATTCAAAATAGACTAGTGCAATAGAACCAGGCAGGAACTATATTTGATTACATAGTTCCATTGTTTTTAGTTTGTAAGTTGTGTATCCAACCTCTCTCTTTGGCATCTATCTGAGAAATCTTTGAGCAACACAATCCACTTAAAAAATATTTGTTATTTCTGAAATTTCCCCATTATGGGACAAACTAAGGATCTCCTAATCTTTCTCTTTGTCGTGCAGTTTATGAAGACCACAGTCCCGGATGTGTTTTGTGGAGGTGACGTCTGCACCTTCCCTCTGACCATTGCCGAAGACCAGCAGGTGAACATCGGACACTGGCAGATGGCTCAGGCTCACGGTAACTACATCTGATTTGACTCTGGAGTTTCTGAAAGTCTCTCCTTGTGGTCACTCCGGTGAACTGAATGTGGTTTTCAATCGTCAGGGAAGGTAGTGGCTCTGAACATGTTGGGTAGAGCGACACAACTGAACTCTGTCCCTTATTACTGGACCGTCCAATTGGGGAGAACCATACGATACGCAGGTGAGCTCCGCTATCTAAAGCCAAGACTTTACTCTGTTATCAAATGTTTACATATACATTAAACAAAGACTGGAAAACATTGCACATGACGTATAGAAATGTATACTGTACATCATCAAACAACATTAAAACAAACCAGGACTGAGTCTATATCATACAGCATGTTGGTTTCACTTTGTAAAACGCGGCATGGTGGCTGAGTGGATAGCACTCCAGCAAAAAGGTCCAGGGTTCAAATCCCAGTCGGAACAGGACTGTTCTGAGTGGAGTTTGCATGTTCTCCCCGAGTCTGCGTAGGTTTCCTCAGGGTGCTCCGGTTCCCCCTACCACTTAAGAGATGCACAGCGCTGGTCCTGACCAAGCCGAGCATCAACATCTGGAGATGGGTTCCCTGGTGCTGTTACTACGGCGACCACTGCTCCTGACAGAGGCCCAAGTGGCATCAGGATGGGTCAAATGCAGAGGACAAAGCTCAATGGGGATAAATAAAGTGCACATTTACATTTAAGTTGAATTACAGACAAAATTAACTTTTGAACCATATTCATTGTTTCTACAGGCTGATTATTAATGTTGATTTTAAGACCAAAAAAACCAAAATGGATTTGTTTGTACCTACAAACAAATACATTATACATATATTTTCTAATATTCCCAGTTTCACCTGTACATATACTGTACATACATATATATACAGGTGCAGCAATAATGTGAATAATATATGTATAGTTAAAGTGTGTTGTAAGTCCAGCTCAACAAAAGTTAATACATGAAATTAAGATAAACCAACCAGGGTTCTTGGTATTATAGAAACACCATCTGGAGAAGGATTTGAAATGAGATAAAGAAGTTATCTAACTGTAAATACTTGTAATGTCTCTGTGTGTGTGGACTCCAGGCTTTGGCGAGGGCTACACTGAGATCATTATTAAAGGAAAGGTTGAAGACCGGAAGTTTCTGGGACTGTACATAAAGTAAGTTACGGCTTTGATCTAATGACCACATCTAATAGCTCTAGAGTTAATCTCATAATACTGTGTGTTTGGAGAGATGAACGAGTGGTGGCAGCGGTCAGCCTGAACTTTGATCCCGCGGTGTCTGCAGTGGCCGAGCGGCTGCTGTCGGGGCCAGTCATCACCAAAATGGAGGCACAGTAGGTTCACAATTCAACTCAATTCAATGTATGGAATGTATTCGTATAGACCTAAATCCTAGCCGTAGTTATCTTGGAGGAATTTACAAAACTGACAAATTCGGCACAAATCAGAAAATAAAACGCAAGAAATGCAATGATAAAAAACACATGAAGGACAGAGACCAATGTCCATAAATGTTGTTGAACGTTGAGTGTCCTGGATCATCACTACTGTCCTTAGACCTTTCTGCATCAGCAAAATAAAACATCTCATAAGTCACATTGATTTAACCTGAAATATCTCATCTGATGCAAATATTCTATGCATGGGAATTGAGACATACTGCAATTTCAGAATGTCCACTAAATGTCACACATATTGACCAGATGCATCAACGTCATCCAGTCACGTGATTGTGAATGAGCTTACGACGGAAGTATTGGAAACTAGCATTGCTGCGAGAGCAAAACGGACACAACTCTTAAAAACGGAGCTTCCTCTCCTAAATCGAGAAGTGGCTGCTTCAAGCACATGTTTGATTACGTTATAGGTGGAAGTAGGACATCAGGTCAGGGCTCACAAAGAGTGGTATTTGGAGAAGTTAAGGATCGCCTAACTGGATGTTCACCCGAAAATACTGACCTTCTCCCCACTGTTAATTTTATCGATTAAATGAAATGTCCAATTTTGCCCGAATTCACCCTACATGATGTCGTTAACAATGCATCCCCTCACACTGGAGCAGATTTATATGTACATTTTGCTGGTAGCATTAGCAATAGTCCACTTTTCTGTGGATTTTCTGTCTACAGCCAAACATGATACATATCGACCGAGAGGAAAATAGTGAAAAACGCATCTGACGTCTAAGATAAGATAAGAGATCCTTTATTCATCGCACAGTGGGGAAATCTCAATCTTGCAGCGCACATACAGGACAGTAGTAAGAGACACGTTTGACTTCAAGCGTTCGTTGTGTCATTGTCTTCTGTCTTCATGACGAGCAGGTATCTGATAAAAAGACACATTTGGCTTATCACAGTTTTGGCTGTTATTCGGTGAAACAGGTTGTTTTGGTCAAGTGTCCGTAGGCTCGCAGTTAGACTTCCGCCGTTTGTCATGGAGAGTGGGCGTGGCCAGGACGTCACATGCAAGAGGTCAATAGGGCAGGATAAGCACAGTAGATTACTCTATGTATTATGTGCTCCTTGTGTTCTCTTACTACTGTACTGTATGTGCGCTGCAACATTTAAATTTCCCCACTGTGGGTCAAATAAAGGTTCTGTTATCTTATCTTATCTTATCTTAGTGAAGTGAATGTGTTGTTGTTGCAGATCAGACGACCTGAGCTGGTTAAAGCTGCCATGAAGCCATCGAGCACATTTTAAAGTTGTTGAATCATATTTGTGTTACTTTTTGGATGGAGGACTTTTGACTCTAGGTTTGTGACGGTCCACAACAACAGATACCTCATGGATACGCCTCTGTATCACGTAGACGAGCAGCAGACTTCACCTGTGTCCGGGTTCAGGAAATGACACCTTCCTAATCCCTCCTTATCCCTATTTATCCTTTCTTATTCCACCTCTTCTCTCCTTATCCTTTTTTATCTCTCCTTATCTCTCTTATGTCTCCTCATCTCTCCTCATCTCTCCTCATCTCTCCTCATCTCTCCTTATCCTTATTTATCTCTCCTTATCTCTCTTATCTCTCCTCATCTCTCCTCATCTCTCCTTATCCTTATTTATCTCTCCTTATCTCTCTTATGTCTCCTCATCTCTCCTCATCTCTCCTCATCTCTCCTTATCCTTTTTCTCTCCTCATCTCTCCTTATCCTTTTTCTCTCCTCATCTCTCCTTATCCTTTTTTATCTCTCCTTATCTCTTTTATGTCTCCTCATCTCTCCTCATCCCTCCTCATCTCTCATCCTTTTTGTCCCTCCTCATCCTTCCTTGTCTGACCAAACTTTTTCCCACATCAGTTCTTTCCTAAAGTGTGACATTAGATGTAGATATATTTCCTGAACCCGGATGCCTCTGTTTGTGTCTGACGTGTGTCGCTTCACACTTCAGCACCAACGCCATGTCCACATTCTCACATCGTTTCATTATGATTTTAAAGCAGATTATATTCAGCCAGTGAAAAACAAACCTGTTTGTTTCTTAAACTCTTTATCCATTCACGCTGCAGCCGCTTGCTTTTCATGACTGTAGCTCGAGTTATCAGTGTTCAGACTGTAAGAAGAATAAATGTTTTACATTGACTTCATGTGTCCATCAGTTTTTAAAATTATGTTCTAAGATTGACTTTTTCTGAAAAATATCAATCATAAACATCATTTTATACGGATGAAGCCGCAGATTGTGAAATTTACAGGAAGCAGAGCAGCGTTCTGATGACATCACAGGTTTAGAGGTTCACAGTTTGTAAAGTTTGACATAATTTACAACAAACACTTTGATCCATTAAGGATTCATTACAGTTAAAGTATATTCTTGTTTTTACTTTGTCAAAATATATTGGCCCAGTTTATTACAGGGTACTAGGTAACTTCACAACAAGAAGGTTGTGGGTTCAACTCCCAGCCGACCCAGGTCTGTCTGTGCAGAGTTTGAATGTCTCCTCATGTCTGGGTTTGATTCCCTCTGATCCTCCCGCAAAACATCCACCGCAAATAAAATCCTCCAGTGAAAGTTTTCTTGACCGAGCCGAGCATTGTGATCCCTGCAGCGACAGTTTCACTTATGATAAAGAATGGGGTCAAATGCAGAGGAGAGATTTCTCCACTGGGATAATATACCCTTAACACTAACATCTGTGACATCATAATTTACAACCAGGACGTGAAGTATAAAGAAACAAATGTGACTGGGATGCAATAGAATAATCTGAATTATAATAAACTAGACTGTTTTGTGAATATAAAGTCAGAATCAAAATCAACAAGTGGCACATGAACAGGATAAAAGTCTTTGTTGTCCCGAGAATCAAATAAAGAGACATCTATTTGAACAAAAATATATTTATTATTATAACACAGAACAAGAAGTTGATTTCCCAAAAAAACATGTCAAACTCTACATTCTTTTCACATAAAGGTATTAAACATGTATCAGTGCAACACATTCTGTACATGGAATATCTTTGACCAGAGGAAAAAGACATTCACCGTGAACTCTCCACAAAGTCCTCATTTGTCTTTGGGACAGTAACAGCTCGATCCATCTGTCTCCTGTGCCCCGTCCACCGGCGTGTCACCGCAGGATCCAGCTCCAGTTACCACCCTCAGCTTCCAACTTTGTATCTTTTGTGGAAGTGATGCATAATTTAGGACCTGATTGAAGATTTTAACACAGTCTTTGAGCTGCAGATCCAGTCCGGCACCAGAAGCAAGGATTTCAAGGAGAATTAGACGTTTTGGATAGATCTTGCATGTGGTGTCATATTTATTTTATCAGTTTGTTTTCTCTTCAAAACTATATCTCTGGGACAAACCTATGCTTTCACGCTGCAGGTAAAGAAACAAGTCAAAACTGGGCAAATTTAAAATAATGATAGTGGTTTCAGGGCGAAGTAGAGATGTTGGTGCAGTACAGTGTTCATGGTTTTACAATGGTCCTGACCAGAGCGTAGAGGATTCATGGTCCGAACCAAGCGGATCAGGAGAAAATCCACTGGAGGAATGCTAACTTTTTGAAAAATGCCAATGAAGCATTTAGTATTTTACTTTGGACTAGAGCAGAGAAAATGGTCCGAACCAAGCGGCTACTCCACCTTTTGACCCGTCCTGCTCCACCCAGAGGCTACTCCACCTCTGCTGAATTTCTCCTACGGTGTATCTATAAAGTATCTATCTATCTAGGTTGGGTGAGATATTTTTTTATTCTTTCCATGAAAATGCATAGTTGTACAAGTTTCAAATCATTCATGCAAATCATTCAGTCTTTGCATAAAGTTGCTGGTCTTTCCTTTATAAATTTGTAAAAAAACAAAATATTAAGTAATCTCTTATAATGCAATTCCCTGGGATCCTGAGTTCTAAGACTTTAGTATAGACTTAATCAAAAATTGACAGGAAAATTACTATATACATTAGAACATAGACAAGATAGATAAGTTAAGATTCGGTTCAAAATGATTTTTCCTTAAAGTTCTTAAAGTTTGGTAAAGTTAATTCTAATGTGACAAAGTAAACACGGTCTTTGTGGAATCTCATCTCATTTACACAATAGTTATGCTACGTAGAAATGAGACAGCACTTTTATTTTGTCAAATCATCACTTTTCTTGTGCATGAATCAGGCATCGGACACAGGTGGACGGATTCATGTTAGAACTCAGCATTACTTCCCGTACATACTGTAGAGTTTAAAACATTTATTCAACTTTTATGCCACTAACTGTCACTTGCCCGGTGTAAAACTACAATAATTACTCAAAAGAAAGTATCTATAAGCGTTGTTTGAAGTTTATAGATCCCCCAGCTCTAAGCAAGAATCAGAAAAACAGTGCATTTAGACACATCACGCCTTGTATTTGCCCTCCCTCTCCTGGACGTAGCGCTCTCTCCGGTTGGCCTTGTACACCTCCAGCCTCTGCTCCTCCATCTCGGGGTCCTCCAGAGCCCCCTCCCAACGGACCGTCTCTCTGGCCTCTCCGCTCAGCCGGGACAGGAAGCTCTCCACGGAAGAACCGGGAGCCAGGAGGAGCGGCTTCTTGCTCTTTCGGCTTCCCTTCTTTGAGTCCTTTTTGGGGGAAGCCTTGAGTTTGGGCAGGGGGGGCTGCGGTGGGGTGATGGAGAGTAACACCGGGGGCTCGGGTTTGTCTGTGGAAAGAGAATGGGTTTTAATCCAAGTGGACAAAGCCTCAAACAAAAGGCAGGGTTTAAGTTACTAATGACCACGGAGCGTTCAGGTAATGATTGTGACAAGTCGACAGGATCAGCCCACGTCACATGATCAATGCATTTCTCCCTAATCCCACTGGCCAACAACGGTATATGGTTCAACAAAAATAATAATAATACATTGAACGTGTATAGCGTTTTTTGGACACTCAAAGATGCTTTACAAAACATATGAAATAAACAGAGTCAAATTAAGGAAATGTACCTCTCTGTTCTCCTGAATGAGCCCGTTGTGGATTTGAACCATGCACTTTCTATTTCTAAGTTAAAGATATGTGTTGTGCAAGTTTGAAATAATTCATCTACATCTAAATTGAGGTGCTGTTTATTTGAATGCAAGCCTAGTCGCTATACAATTCAATTATTATTAGACCTTAATTCTTGTGTAACATTGTGGGAACAAATCAGAACACAACACGTTTCCTCTCATTGAGTGGCTGCATAGACTATGCAGCCACTATATGCTCTCCTACTGTTTATTCTTCTTCTTCTTCTTCTTCTTCTTCTTCCACTTCCGCCAGATTTTGGCACTTTTCAACTCCTCAACGCTTTCACCAAATTCAACAAATTATACATCGTTACGACCGGCTTCACCGTCTCATTATTGATTGACTGCGGAACCTTCCGCAGTCAACCATTGGTTTTGTATTTCTTTATTCCGTCATTGATTGACTGCGGAACCTTCCGCAGTCAACCATTGGTTTTGTATTTCTTTATTCCGTCATTTTTTTTGACACGTTTCACAGCTTTCACATTTTCAACAATTTCCACAAGTTATACATCAAAACGTTCCACATGTTTGGGAGATTATTGCTATTACTTTTGGGACTTCAGCGATTTCCGGTTTTTCCGCAATCGGACAAAAATCTGCATTGAGAATTCTGCAATGCATTTTAATAGGCCCATGCATTTTAATAGGACTTCAGCTCTTTCAGACATTTCTACAGTTTCAATGATTCAACAGTTTCAAGGATTCAACAGTTTCAAGGATTTCAGCAGTTTCAAGATTTCAAGAGTTTCAAGGACTTCAACAGTTTCAAGGACTTCAGCAGTTTCAAGGACTTCAGCAGTTTCAAGGACTTCAGCAGTTTCAAGGACTTCAGTGTAATTATGCAACCTAATAGGGATTTTTCCATGTAAACCAGTATAATGCAACTTAATAGGGATTTTTCCATGTAAACCAGTATAATGCAACTTAATAGGGTTTTTTCATGTAAACCAGTATAATGCAACTTAATAGGGTTTTTTTCATGTAAACCAGTATAATGCAACTTAATGGGGATTTTTCCATGTAAACCAGTATAATGCAACTTAATAGGGGTTTTTACATGTAAACCAGTATAATGCAACTTAATAGGGTTTTTTCCATGTAAACCAGTATAATGCAACTTAATAGGGTTTTTTCCATGTAAACCAGTACAATGCAACTTAATAGGGATTTTTCCATGTAAACCAGTATAATGCAACTTAATGGGGATTTTTCCATGTAAACCAGTATAATGCAACTTAATGGGGATTTTTCCATGTAAACCAGTATTATGCAACTTAATAGGGATTTTTCCATGTAAACCAGTATAATGCAACTTAATAGGGATTTTTCCATGTAAACCAGTATAATGCAACTTAATGGGGATTTTTCCATGTAAACCAGTATTATGCAACTTAATAGGGATTTTTCCATGTAAACCAGTATAATGCAACTTAATAGGGTTTTTTTCATGTAAACCAGTATAATGCAACTTAATAGGGTTTTTACATGTAAACCAGTATAATGGAACTTAATAGGGGTTTTTACATGTAAACCAGTATAATGGAACTTAATAGGGGTTTTTACATGTAAACCAGTATAATGCAACTTAATAAGGATTTTTACATGTAAACCACTATAATGTAACCTAATAGGGGTTTTTACATGTAAACCAGTATAGGGATTTGCAACTTAATAGGGATTTTTCCATGTAAACCAGTATAATGCAACTTAATAGGGATTTTTCCATGTAAACCAGTATAATGCAACTTAATAGGGATTTTTCCATGTAAACCAGTATAATGCAACTTAATAGGGATTTTTCCATGTAAACCAGTATAATGCAACTTAATAGGGATTTTTCCATGTAAACCAGTATTATGCAACTTAATAGGGATTTTTCCATGTAAACCAGTATAATGCAACTTAATAGGGATTTTTCCATGTAAACCAGTATAATGCAACTTAATAGGGATTTTTTCATGTAAACCAGTATAATGCAACTAAATAGGGTTTTTTCATGTATAATGCAACCTAATAGGTTGCATTATACCACCAGACCAAGACCCAAACGAAGACTCAGACCACCACCAGATAATGACCACAGACCAGGTTTCCTTAGTTACAGGAACCAAATTGTTTCAGCGGTGAGGGGATTTTTCAGTTTCAAGGACACTTTCAATACATTCAGTAGTTTCAAGGATTTCAGCTGTTTAAGAATTTAACCAGTTTCAAGGATATCAGAGGTTCAAGGATTTCAGGAGTTTCCACACTTTCAACAGTTTCCAGGTTTAAAAAAGTTTCAAGGATTTCAGGAGTTTCAATGTTTCAACAGTTTCAAGGATTTCAGGAGTTTAAAGGTTTCAACAATTTCAAGGACTTCAGGAGTTTCAAATATCTATCAAGTATTTTAACAGTTTCAAGGCTTTTTAAAGGATTTCAAGGATTTTTTTTAGCAGATTTCCACATTAGATCTGTTCCGCAGTCAATCGCAATGGCTTCAGCCATTGCAAGTTTCTAGTTTTTTTTGACACGTTTCACAGCTTTCACATTTTCAACAATTTCCACAAGTTATACATCAAAACGTTCCACATGTTTGGGAGATTATTGCTATTACTTTTGGGACTTCAGCGATTTCCGGTTTTTCCGCAATCGGACAAAAATCTGCATTGAGAATTCTGCAATGCATTTTAATAGGCCCATGCATTTTAATAGGACTTCAGCTCTTTCAGACATTTCTACAGTTTCAATGATTCAACAGTTTCAAGGATTCAACAGTTTCAAGGATTTCAGCAGTTTCAAGATTTCAAGAGTTTCAAGGACTTCAACAGTTTCAAGGACTTCAGCAGTTTCAAGGACTTCAGCAGTTTCAAGGACTTCAGCAGTTTCAAGGACTTCAGTGTAATCATGCAACCTAATAGGGATTTTTCCATGTAAACCAGTATAATGCAACTTAATAGGGATTTTTCCATGTAAACCAGTATAATGCAACTTAATAGGGTTTTTTTTCATGTAAACCAGTATAATGCAACTTAATGGGGTTTTTTCCATGTAAACCAGTATAATGCAACTTAATAGGGGTTTTTACATGTAAACCAGTATAATGCAACTTAATAGGGTTTTTTCCATGTAAACCAGTATAATGCAACTTAATAGGGTTTTTTCCATGTAAACCAGTACAATGCAACTTAATAGGGATTTTTCCATGTAAACCAGTATAATGCAACTTAATGGGGATTTTTCCATGTAAACCAGTATAATGCAACTTAATGGGGATTTTTCCATGTAAACCAGTATTATGCAACTTAATAGGGATTTTTCCATGTAAACCAGTACAATGCAACTTAATAGGGATTTTTCCATGTAAACCAGTATAATGCAACTTAATAGGGATTTTTCCATGTAAACCAGTACAATGCAACTTAATAGGGATTTTTCCATGTAAACCAGTATAATGCAACTTAATAGGGTTTTTTTCATGTAAACCAGTATAATGCAACTTAATGGGGATTTTTCCATGTAAACCAGTATTATGCAACTTAATAGGGATTTTTCCATGTAAACCAGTATAATGCAACTTAATAGGGTTTTTTTTCATGTAAACCAGTATAATGCAACTTAATAGGGTTTTTACATGTAAACCAGTATAATGAAACTTAATAGGGGTTTTTACATGTAAACCAGTATAATGGAACTTAATAGGGATTTTTACATGTAAACCAGTATAATGCAACTTAATAGGGATTTTTACATGTAAACCAGTATAATGCAACTTAATAGGGTTTTTTACATGTAAACCAGTATAATGCAACTTAATAGGGGTTTTTACATGTAAACCAGTATAATGCAACTTAATAGGGGTTTTTACATGTAAACCAGTATAAAGGATAACAGTTTAAAGGATATCAGGAGTTTCAAAGATGTTTAAAGTATTTTAACAGTTTCAAGGATTTCAAGGATTTTTCAGCTAAATTCCACATTAGATCTGTTCCGCAGTCAATCGCAATGGCTTCAGCCATTGCAAGTTTCTAGTTGCTATTACTTTTTAAACTTCCACCTTTAGCACTTTTTCAAATATTAACAAAAGTTCAAGCACTTTTTCCCATTGACTTACATTGGACCAGTACAACAGATTACTCCCCATACAACACATTACCACACTAACAATTCATTACCACAGATACAATACATTACAGCATCTTACAAAACTTGCAGCACCTTACAACACATTTAGCACTTTACAACAAATTCAACACCTTACAACACATTTAGCACTTTACAACACATTCAACACCTTACAACACATTTAGCACCTTACAACAAATTCAACACCTTACAACACATTCAGCACCTTACAACAAATTCAACACCTTACAACACATTTAGCACTTTATAACACATTCAACACCTTACAACACATTTAGCACTTTACAACAAATTCTTACACCTTACAACACTTATAGCACCTTACAACACATTTAGCACCTTACAACAAATTCAACACCTTACAACATATTTAGCACCTTACAACAAATTCAACACCTTACAACACATTTAGCACTTTACAACAAATTCAACACCTTACAACACATTTAGCACTTTACAACAAATTCAACACCTTACAACACATTTAGCACCTTACAACAAATTCAACACCTTACAACACATTTAGCACTTTACAACACATTCAACAACTTAAAACACATTTAGCACTTTACAACAAATTCAACACCTTACAACACATTTAGCACTTTACAACACATTCAACACCTTACAACACATTTAGCACT